GGATAATATCACGTCGCCTCTCTGGCCAATAGAAAGACTTGCATAGCTTCTCAATTACATGACGATGTCCCATATGCCCACCTAGAACAGGAGAATCATGGTAGGCATGGAGAAACCATGGACTAAAGATAGAAGGCACCACCAGCCGTAAATGATCATTAGGATTTGTCCCCACAAAATAAAGAAGGCCATCTTCAAGACGATATTGAGAATGTAAATGCTGGAAAGGCAAGTCATCAGCAAGAAATGCAGGATTCTCAAACCTATCTTGAAGCCTTTGAATCCATGGCTCAATCTTTTGAGCCTCATGAACCTCATCAAGCAAAGTTAGATCTTGCTCTGCACCTTGTGGACACTGAACATGAAGTATAGCAACCGCCGAGGGCACAAAATCCTCGTCTAGAAAATCCACAAATACTGAAACAATAGGCTCATCAGAAACATGAGAAGAGAGTGAAGAGGGAAGAGGAGCTCGAGAAAGGGCATCAGCATCAGCCATAGAACTCCCTAGGCGGTGAACAACATCAAAATTATATATCTAAAGCTTCAAAGCCCACCAAGCAGTACGACCAACAGGTTCTTCCACTTCAATAACGAAGTAACAGCAGCATGGTCACCTTCAAGTAACGTCCGAGAACCATGTAGATATGCATGAAGTTTCTCAAAACCCCAGACTGCTGCTAAACACTCCTTCTCTATCGTGGAGTAGTTCATCTCCACTGGTTGTAATGTACGGTTTATATATGCAATGGGATGGCGCTGACCAGGCACACTCGAGCTCTCTTGCATTAACACACCTCCAAAACCAATGTCAGAAGCATCCACGCGCAAAATAAAAGGTCAAGTGTAGTTAGGATATGCCAAAACCGAAGGAGTTGTCAATAACTCTTTGAGATCCCCAAACACCCACTCACAATCCGGAGACCAAATGAAAAACGACGTTGATGACTTCAGCAACGCTCGCAATAGTGTAGTGTGATTAGAAAGATGATCCACAAAACGCCCGAAATACTGCGCCTTGCCCAAGAAGCACTGCACGTCATTCACACACTTCGGAGTAGGGAACTTTAGAACAGCCACAAGTTTGTCAGGATCAACTTGCAAACCCTCACGAAAAATACGGTACCCAAGATAAGTTGTCCTTGGATCCAAACACGCACTTCGACCGCTTCAGCTTTAAACCAACGTCGCATAGTCGATCCAACACTTTACAAACATCACGAACGTGCTCCTCCCACATCCCCTCCGAGTGGATCAAGACATCATCAATGAAGTCAGCAGTCACCTCCGGCATATCGCAAAGAACCTCATCCATCATCCGTTGAAAAGTTGCTGGAGCATTGTTCAAACCAAATGGCATCACCAAGAACTCATACAAACTAAATGGTGTACGAAAAGCAGTCTTAGGAATATCTTCTTCGGCCATCGGTACTTGCCAGTACCCAGAAGCAAGATCGAGCTTGGTGAACCAACGACTTTGCCCCAGACGATCTAAGAGATCAGCAGTGTGAGGAAGAGGGTACACATTTGGGATTGTTACGTCGTTTAACGGATGATAGTCGATGCAGAAACGAATACTCCCATCAGGCTTCGTCACAAGATGAGGTTCACATGCCCAAGGACTCCGTGACTTTCGAATAACACCCTTCTCCAATATCTCCTTGACATTTGCACGTAAAATCTTGATCTCCTTTGGTGACCGATGACGAATAGGAACCTTGATTGGATGAGCATCCCCAGTAGAAATCGGATGACGCGTGGCAATCTTGGCTCTAGACGATAGGTCAAAGTCAAAGAGATCAGAATACTCCTTCATGAGCTGGTCAACTGCTACAACATAAATATTGTCAGAGAAATTGGAAAAGGGAAGAGCAGAACAAGATGGAAACACAAGAGGAAATAGTGGGGAAACAAAAGTAATGGAAGCAGAGGTAGAAGTAAAGGGACGAAAAAATGAGAGGAAGGGATGAAATATAAGGAAGTATGAGATAAGGGGGAGAAGCCTTAAAGTCACACTTGGCATGATTGCGCTGCAACCAATCTATACCAAAAATGAGGTCAAAAGTTTAACTCGGCACCACCCGCAACGACTGCAACTCAAGCTTGAGATCGCCCACACACACAACCAAGTCTGCCTCATCCCGTGCACATGCATGTGTACGGCAGTTGCCATAAAGGGTTCCGCTGCACGATGCAAGTGTAGACGACAACGTGTTGCAACAGGTCGAGCAATAGAAGATAAACTCGAACCTGTATCAACCAACACGGAGAGAATAATAGGAGACCTCTTGTTATAAAGACGAGCTTGGAAAATAAACATTGGATGAACTAGTGCCGAGTGAACCCCTTGATGATACTCCCAAAAGAAAATGTAAGCTCCTGAATTTGGACTTCCCGAGAGGTCACCCAACCCAGTACTATTCAAACCCAAGGACACTTAACCCTAAGTATCCCAAGACCATTAACCAATTGGAAAAAGGGGTGCACTTCTATTCATGGGCCCTTTCCCTCTATATTTGAACCCCATGGATTGTCTCTCAAGTTGTTCCCTTTGGTTGCTTACAATCCACCATGCTTCCCTGCAAGTTCATGCCCTCATGAACGGAAGCTGAGAGCCGCAGCTCTCCCTTTGGTTGCTTACAATCCACCATGCTTCCCTACAAGTTCATGCCCTCGTGAATGAAAGCTGAGAGCCGCAGCTCTCCCGAGAGCCTTGCTCTCTTGACACCCTACCCCTCAGGTTGAGCCCAGCAGGAGCAAACTGGACCAGCCAGATGTCAATCAACATGTGGTGCAATTCCCCTAGCCAACCAATAGAGTCGGACCCGAGACCCCTCTGATACCAAATGTAAGCTCCTGAGTTTGGACTTCCCGGAAGGTCACCCAACCCAATACTATTCAAACCCAAGGACACTTAACCCTAAGTATCCCAAGACCCTTAACCAATTGGAAAAGAGGGTGCACTTTTATTCATGGGCCCTTTCCCTCTATATTTGAACCCCATAGATCATCTCTCAAGTTGTTCCCTTTGGTTGCTTACAATCCACCATGCTTCCCTGCAAGTTCATGCCCTCATGAATGAAAGCTGAGAGCCGCAGCTCTCTCGAGAGCCTTGCTCTCTTGACACCCTACCCCTCAGGTCGAGCCCAGCAGGAGCAAGGGCATGAACGAAAGCTGAGAGCCGCAGCTCTCTCGAGAGCCTTGCTCTCTTGACACCCTACCCCTCAGGTCGAGCCCAACAGGAGCAAATTGGACCAGCCAGATGTCAATCAACATGTGGTGCAATTCCTCTAGCCAACCAACAGAGTCGGACCCGAGACCCCTCTGATACCAAATGTAAGTTCCTGAGTTTGGACTTCCCGGAAGGTCACCCAACCCAGTACTATTCTAACCCAAGGACGCTTAACCCCAAATATCATAAGACCCTTAACCAATTGGAAAAGGGGGTGCACTTTTATTCATGGGCCCTTTCCCTCTATATTTGAACCCCATGGATCGTCTCTCAAGTCGTTCCCTTTGGTTGCTTACAGAAAGATGGAGGGGTCACTGACTTATTCGTGCAAGGTCCCTCCGTTACTAGTGCAACTCTTCATTTCCCGGATGCATCTCGGTGTCCAAACCTTCCATTGCAGCAGCACCAACAGGACGTTGCTGACGCCAAGGTCTCCACCTAGGAAATAGAGGTCGCCAATCCGGAAAACCCTGACAATGCTGATAAGTATGACCAACTTCATCACATGCCCAACAGCGAACATCACGGCCACGACCACATCCTCACCCTTGACCTTGGACTTGAGCAGCAGTAGCATCAACCTCCATTGGAATAGGACCATCGCCCACAGGAAGTGGAGCTGAAGGATGTGCAGCGAGAAGTGGAAGAAGCAACGTCTCATAACATTGTGCCAAGCGAAGAGCATCGTCAAGGGTGGCAGGAGCAAGTGCATGCACAAGTCCAACAAGATCTTGACGAAGTGCTGGCCACAACATTCCTAGCTTGATCCGCTCCGACATATTTGACTTCGCACGAAGCAAAAGACTTCGGAAACGAACACCAAATTGCATCACCGACTCAGATGGCCCTTGGCAAAGACGATGCAATTGTTGGAAAGCATCATCACAGTCATTAGCATGTTCGAAGGCACATTTGAAAACATCTGGAAGAACACTCTAATCCTCGCGAGTGGTTGCTCCCAAACCGTTGTACCACTGCAACGCTGTCCCTTGGAGACACGTGGGAAACTCACACAAACGTCGAGCATCATCCCAAGAATAATATGTGGCAATCACCGTAAAGTGATCGAACTAATGGTACACATCATCCCCAGGATTCCTACGAAAGAACTCTGGCCGAACGCGAGGATTGGTACCAAGAGCAGGAAGAGTTGTACCATGTGCCATGAACGCCGCCATCAATTGAGTTTGGTTGTTCAATTGCAAGTGCATAGCATCAAGCAATTGTACCAATTGCTGCTCCAGAATCAAAGGAGGAGATTACTGATTTGCTATGGAGACGAATGAAAAAGAAAGAGCAAAAGAAGAGAAACGACAAAAAGCTAGAAGGAAATAGTAGATCGAGACAATGCAAAAAACTAGATCTAAACCAAAATCTTGAAAGGAAAGAACAAAAGAAAGGAAATGGAAAATGGAAAAAGCTAGATCTAGACAATGCAAAAGCTAGATCTAAACTGAAATCCCAAATCCAAACACTCCCAAGGGACAATCAAAGGTGCTCCTCATCTCCACCAATGTGAGTGCATGGAATATAGAAAGGGAATACAGAAATGTGCATATCAATTAACCCAAAAACCCTAGTTTAGAGCGAGTGGTCTGGAATGAAACCAATCTGACGGCTACCAAAATTCCATTACGCTAATATTAATATATAGCATCGTAACCGTACACTTGGCCCTCACAACTTCTATTTAATCTAGTGAATTAATAAGTAAGAATAATACTACTATCAAGCAAACTAACCGTTGTTGCTAATGGATCCTGAGCACTTAGAGATAGGTTTTTGTTGCCTAATTCACATTTAGTAAATCTGAAGCTTGCAGATTTCAGCTGCAAAGGATGCTCGGGATCTGCTCCAAGAGGAGAGGATGGTACGTGAATTCGACGAGCTAACTTTCACTATCTCTTTCTCTATCACTCCACCAAAAGAAAATGGAGCAGCTTATGGCTTCAAACTAGTGGCTAGTTGAGAACAAAGGTTACAGTTCACTTGGAAGAAAGAAGTCGACACAGTCTCCTGGAAGGATACCATCCTGGAGCACAGTTTGCAGCGGTACATTGTAGTGGCAGGCTCAACAGGTTGTTTTGGTTTCACCACAGTCCGCTGCTTGATCTTTTTCCCGCACTTGATAGCCTCTTTCCGGCCAGTTTCCGTTTGACCAGTGGTGGAGAGTTGAAAAGCCTGTAGCTGCGAGGTGGCTGGGGGTTAGGACCCTTGATGTTGGAAAGGAAAATTACCTGGCGCATGAATCCATCATTTGGGCTGGCTGTCTCGCTAGCTTGTTTCAAGGTCCCCAATGCATCTGCATCAAAGAAAGAATAACTCAAGCTTAAACTTTGGAGCACGCAAGGATACGTACCCTCAACTGACAGCTTCTCCTTCCACATAAGGTATGCGGTGACCACAGCCGCACTGCACATTTAACAAACATTTGAATGAAGATTAGACTCTGTTACGTACCTGCGAGAGAAGCCACCAATGCAATGGACCAGCACTATACCCTTCTGCACGCCCTCTTCGATGAAAGTTATGCAGTCCTCCAAATAATCCAGCAAGTTCTGATCCCTGCTGTCCTCCAAGGGAATGATCTTCTGGATTGGCTTCAAATCTGGGTCAGCGCATGGACACTTGGCAGACAGCTCGCATGCAACTCGCCCCAGCGCCTGCTTCTGTTGAGCCGAAAGTGCTGAGCTGCAAAATTGAGACACATACATGCCGTCGGCGAAGCAGAGCGGGGCCACGGACAAGATATGGGTAACTCCCCATTTCGCACCAGACAAGAAAGCGAGGGCGTCTTGGAGGGTGCCAATGTAGAGATCCGGACGCACCTTCTTCATTCCCCCAACCGCAGCGATCAAGCGCAAACCCTAAACTCTGCCGTCGGTGGTCATGGATCTTAGCCGTCCACGTCTACCTATCTGTGACTAACCGGCAATTTCAATTTGTTTTTCTCGAAGTAGAATCGGAACAAAAGCTTGTTTGTGATACCAACGATTCCAGCATACAGTCACGGTGGCCCGTATTTCATCCAACATTATCAAATCATCGCGAGATTGGATACGGAAGACCTTAGAAAATGCCGCTGTCGTTACGAACTTCATCGGTGAGACACGGGAGGGATCCGTGAAATCGCACTGATGGAGGTTACGTCCACGGCCTAGAAGAATCCCCGTATGATGCAGCAATTGAGATAGAATAGTACCTTCGATCTTAGCGAGAAAACAACTCAGACTCCGCGTCAGCTTTAGAAAAACAGGACGACTTATCGACGAGAAAAACATATAAAGCATTGCACGAGACAAACCTGTGATGCTTCTTCGTGGAAGCATAAGAAAAGTGTCGAGAACATTCACCTGGAAAAACAAGAGAAACTGTGACATAAAAAATTACCTGGAGATGATTAGCCACTGTACCGGTTTGAAAGTTATTGAAACCTGAAAGTTATGAGATCAGAAAAAGCTCGATACGTCACGTAAAGTGTAGAGAACATATGCCTGAAAGATTTTACCTGCAGGTGGAACTACGATTCATCAGCCAGCCAGTCATCGGATGACGAGGTAGGAGTGGACGACCAGAGGCGACAGGCGGCCAAGTTGCAAGGATCCAAACGAAGAATCAGTCGAGCGACTCTTCCTCCTCGTCCTACGTCTCCATGAATCTTACACGACCCCAGTAATGCCATCCAGGCAGCAGCATCCGGCTCAAACGGCATATAGCTCAGCACTTCCTCTGAGTCCTCGAGCTGCCCGAGCCGTCCCAGAAGATCTACGATACATCTGTAATGCTCCAAGCCGGGACGCAGTCCATAATCGTCCTGAAGCGAGTGGAAAAACTCCAAGGCATCGGTCACCAATCCCGCGTGACTACTCGCGAACAAAACGCTCAGAAACGTAACTTGGTCGGATAGAACACCCGCCTGTTCCATCTCCCTGTAAACTCCGCAAGCTCTCATCCCGTGACCGTTCTCGGCAAAGCTTCCCATCATGGCGTTCCAGGTGATGAAGTTTCTCTTCTTCATCCCCTGGAAAAACTCGAGAGCCGAGTCCAAGCTTCCGCATTTCCCATACATGTTGACGAGCGCCGTCCCCACGACGAGGTCCGACTCGTAGCCGTGCTCGAGAATGCCCGAGTGAAGAAGCTTGCCTTGTTTCAATGCTAGCGAGTTTGAGCACGCGTCCAGAGCTGCAACGAACGAGGCCTTGTCGGGCTTCATGCCACTGTGACTTAACTTCCAAAAAAGCTCCAGTGCCTCGGTGTTGAATCCATTGAGAGCGTAGGCCGAGATCATGGCGTTCCAGAGGATCACGTCCCCTTCTTCGTCTTCCCGCGACAGCTTCTCAAAAACTTGACTTGCCTCGTCCCAGCAACCAAAAGTTCCATAGAGCTTGACGAGAGCTGTTCCCATGATGATATCCACCGGAAGTTTGGAGTTGATAACTTCTGCGTGGATGATCCGGCCAGTTGCAAGCTCCTCGAGCTCCGCGCACGAATCCAAGACGGTGACAAAGGTGACGCGATTCGGCTCCACTCCTTCCACTCCCATTATTCGAAAAAGCTCGATCGCCCTCTTGGCCTCGCCGTTCTGAGAGTAGACTGTGATGACCGCCGTCCACGAGACAACGTCGTGCTCGAGAAGGGGGATCCCCTCGAAAACTCTCCGCGCGTCCTCGACTCGTCCACACTTTCCATACATGTTGACGATCGATGTGAAAGCCATGGAGTCGAGCCTGGAGCTTAGAGCTGAATCCTCGATGGAAGAGTGAATCCCCTTGGCCAGATGGAACTCTCCAAGGTTTGTGCAAGCGTCAATGACAGTGAGAAACGAGATCTCGTCAATCTCGACTCCCTCGAGATCCATGATAGTGAAGAGATGAACAGCGTCTTTGCAATGCCCGTTCTGGGCATATGCCGCCATGAGAGAATTCCAGGAGACCACATCCCTCTCGAGCGTGTCATCGAACATCCTCTTGGCCTCCTGGACGAATCCATTCTGCCCGTAGGCATTGATCATCACATTGCAAGGGATGGCGCTGAGCTCCGGGATGGAATCGAAGAGCATCTTTGCCTGGCGCATAAACCCTAGCTGGGCAAATCCCCCGACTACCGCCGTCCACGCCACCGCGTTGTGGCACGGCATCCTGGCCAGCAAATCCCTCGCCTCCGCGAACAATCCATTCCTGTTGTGCGCCACCAGCAGCGCCGTCCAGGAGAAGACGTTCTTGCGGAAGATCCGGTGGAATGCCCGCTGTGCATCGCCCAGGCAGCCGCATTTGCCGTAGAGCTGCACGAGGAGATTGCCCGGGAACGTCTCCCCGTCCGATCCCGCCGCCCTGAGATGATCGTGGATCCTCCTGCCGTCGGCGATGGCGCCGGCTTTGATCTTCTGCCTGAGAAGCGCGCAGTAGGCCGCGGAATCCGGATGCCTCATTCATCATCGCGATCCCGCCAAGACCATATGCCCAAGAACCCTAAAATTTGCCCAGCAGTCCTAATTTCTCGTGACAACCGCCAAAATTATTTGGGCGGCGCTGGATGTTTGCTTCCTACATTTAGGAATAAAACCAAAGGGTACGGCTTTCCCTCTTATTTACCAGCGATCGTGGCCGTCGATGCGGTGGTAGATGGTAAATTCTCCATCTCTCGACCACGTGGAGCACACAAGCCGTGGCAAATTGACTCTAGGGTTTATAGATCGACCGCTCGGATCGTTCTAGGGCCGCGCATTCTATGCTCGCAGCTGCTTGGAATCTCTGTCTGGCAGCTCCAATCGTCCGGAAAGGTCATCTCTCGCAATAGCAACCTCGCGATATCGATTTCAATGCAGATTCAGGCCTTTCGCCTCCCCGGCTGAGCTGCTTCCATCGCGTCCGATCCGTGCACTTCCGCGCCTCGATCGCTTTGCGGCAGCGACAGGAGATCGCAATGGGTGAGCGCGATGTCTGGAAATTTCTCCTCTGACGCGAAATTTGGCAGTGTCGGGGCATCCATTCGAGAGTATTCTCACTTCCTTGTCCAAGGACGACGGTGGGGAGTATGGGAAATATTACAGCCTTCCAGACTTGCATGATCCACGAATTGGTATGCTGGTGTTCTCTCTTGATTTGATCTCAAATTTTCTCTCTTTTTCGTTCGATTGCACAGAGAAGCTGCCTTACTCGATCAAGATTTTGCTGGAATCGGCCATTCGAAACTGTGACAACTTCCAGGTTACAAAGGACGATGTAGAGAAAATTGCCGACTGGGTTAACACTGCTCCAAAGCTAGTGGAAATTCCTTTCAAGCCTGCTCGAGTTATCCTCCAGGTTTGGAAGCTACGAATCAAACAATTGTGATGTGACTTGTTCCAACTCTTGTGTTTTTTTTTTTTTTCTTTTTCCTTCAGGATTTCACTGGTGTACCAGCTCTGGTGGATCTAGCTGCAATGCGGGATGCTATGAAGAGGCTCGGTGGCGATCCCACAAAAATCAATCCTTTGGTAAAACCTTTGTTCTTTTTTCTCATGAGGAAAGTTGGTTCTTGCTTTTAGATACCTGTCGACCTCGTGATTGATCACTCCGTACAAGTCGATGTCGCTCGCTCGGCTAATGCCGTCGCGAGCAACATGCAGTTTGAGTTTAATCGCAACAAGGAAAGGTTTGCGTTTCTGAAGTGGGGATCGGTTGCCTTCAAAAACATGCTGGTGGTTCCTCCTGGTTCTGGTATTGTCCATCAGGTATGAGCCCAGTTTTTAAATCTGGAAGTTTACATTTGTCATTATTGTCAGGTGAATCTGGAGTATCTCGCTCGAGTAGTGTTCAACAGAGATGGCTTTCTTTATCCGGATAGCTTGGTTGGTACTGATTCGCACACCACCATGATAGACGGACTTGGAGTTGCCGGATGGGGAGTTGGAGGAATCGAAGCGGAGGCAACAATGCTTGGACAGGTATTTTGATTCAGGATTTTGCAACATCTATCCGGATTTTTCAAATTCATCCATTTTTGTTACAGCCAATGAGCATGGTTCTTCCGGAAGTCGTGGGGTTTAAGCTAGTAGGCAAACTTCAGGCTGGAGTCACTGCAACAGATCTGGTCCTTACTGTAACGCAAATGTTGAGGAAACATGGTGTGGTTGGGAAGTTTGTTGAGTTTTACGGTCTGTATCTACTTGAGTTTTATACTCCTAACGTTTTCCTTTTATTTCAGGCGAGGGTGTCAGCTGCCTTTCACTAGCTGACCGAGCAACTATTGCTAACATGTCGCCGGAATATGGTGCTACTATGGGATTTTTCCCTGTCGATCAGATGACCTTAAATTATTTAAGCTTGACAGGCCGTGATGCAGAGAAGGTAACTTTATACATTTCTAAAATAAAACCTTATGATTTAGTATAATAATACAGGTGAAAATGGTCGAAGCTTATTTGCGTGCAAATGATATGTTTGTGGACTATTCTCAGGTAACAAGATACTATAGAAATTTGCCTAACAGTTTTTTATTATTCGCGTAGAAACAACCTGAGACGGTCTATTCAGCATATCTAGAGCTCGATTTGGGAAGCGTTGAACCCTGCATTTCTGGACCTAAACGGTTAGCTTTTGTCGATTTTTGATGGCTCGCTCCTTCTCTAACATCCAACTTTTTCTGTTAGTCCGCATGATCGGGTTTCTCTTAAGGACATGAAGGCTGATTGGCAGGCCTGCCTAGACAATAAAGTTGGCTTCAAAGGCTTTAACATTCCGAAGGATCTTCAGCACAAGACCGCTCAATTTACATACGAAGGAAAGCCGGCAGAGCTAAGACATGGGGATGTCGTCATTGCCGCGATTACAAGCTGCACGAATACATCCAATCCCTACGTGATGCTTGGAGCTGGACTAGTTGCCAAGAAGGCAACGGAACTGGGACTCGAGGTATGCCATCAATATGTTCTCTAGATGGTTAACTTAGTTTTGTAAGCAGGTTCGTCCCTGGATAAAAACAAGTCTTGCTCCTGGTTCAGGCGTTGTTACGAAGTACCTTATAAAAAGGTAATTGTTTGATTGCCGCATGCCTGTATTCTGAACCACATGTAAGTACTGCAGTGGTCTTTTGAAGTACCTTGATATGCAAGGATTTAGTGTTGTGGGATATGGGTGCACTACCTGCATTGGAAACTCTGGCGAGCTACATGAGGCTGTGGCTACAGCGATAGCGGATAATGGTACGTAGCTCTCTGCATTTTCTCTTGTTACTTACTGTCTTCTGTCAACAGATATTGTTGCTGCAGCGGTCTTATCGGGAAATAGGAATTTCGAAGGACGGGTGCATCCCTTAACGCGGGCCAACTATTTGGCTTCTCCTCCTCTGGTTGTAGCTTATGCATTAGCAGGAACGGTAAGCCTTTGTTTTCAGCACAACCGTGTTTTTATGATTTTCTTTGCAGGTAAACATCGACTTTGAGAAGGAACCCATCGGTGTTGGCCACTCTGGGAAACAAGTTTTCTTGAGAGACATTTGGCCAACGTCGGAAGAAGTCGCAAAAGTATGTATTGTGAATCACTTTCATCTTTTTTCTTAAAACTCGTTCACTTCCAGGTTGCAGAAGCTTCTGTGTTGCCCGAAATGTTCAAGTCTACATACGAATCCATCACGAAGGGCAATACTATGTGGAATGACTTGCCTGCTCCTACTGGAGATCTCTACTCATGGGATCCTAAATCAACGTACATTCACGAGCCGCCATTTTTCAAGACCATGACTCGAGATCCACCCGGTGTTCATGGCGTTCACGACGCAGCCGTTTTGCTAAATCTCGGGGACAGTATCACTACCGATCATATTTCACCAGCCGGGAGCATCCACAAAGACAGTCCGGCTGCCAGATATTTGACGGAAAGAGGCGTCGAGAGGAAAGACTTCAACTCTTACGGCAGCCGACGTGGAAATGACGAGGTTATGGTTCGTGGGACGTTCGCAAACATCAGAATTGTGAATAAGCTGCTCAAAGGTGAAGTGGGACCAAAAACCGTCCATCTTCCTTCTGGGGAATGTCACTGGGTTTTCGATGTGGCGCAGGTATTTCTTCTATTTCATGTTTGGTCTTTAAGAGAACTGAGGTTTCCTTTGCAGAAATATAAAGACGAAGGAAAGGAGATGGTGGTTCTTGCCGGAGCAGAATATGGCAGTGGCAGTTCACGAGATTGGGCAGCCAAAGGGCCCTTCCTTCAGGTTAGACCAATTAAGTTTTCAAGCTAAAGTCATGGATCGCTTTGTTGGCAGGGAGTGAAAGCTGTCATCTCTAAGAGTTTCGAGAGAATTCACCGGAGCAACCTTGTTGGAATGAGCATCATCCCTCTGTGCTACAAGAATGGCGAAGACGCAGAATCGCTTGGTCTTACTGGACATGAAACCTTCACCATCGAGCTGCCATCCACGATCGAGGAGATCAAGCCCGGGCAGGACGTGCTTGTGAAGACCAACACGGGGAAGGAGTTTACTTGCACACTTCGCTTTGATACGGAGGTATGAAAACTTTTTTTTTTTCTTTTTGCTGGTGGAGTTTTGATCTTTGGCTTTACACTTGGCTATGCACAGGTTGAGAAGACTTACTTTAATCACGGTGGAATCTTGCACTATGTGTTGAGGCAGCTACTTGGCAGTGCTTAGACTAAAGGACTCTTTTGTGAATTTGGAATAACGTGCTTTTATTTCTCAAACAAATCTAAGTGTAGTAACATCCTTGCTTTCATGCTTGCAGCTCCTTGGCCAGCTCCTTTTTTAGTCTCAGCCTCTTCTTCTTGGAAGGCTTTGTGGACAACGCTGCCACAATGCTCTTCAAGGCTGACGCGACGCTGATGCTTGCCGGTGGTGGCGAGCTCTCTTGTTTAGTTTCTGCTGCTGGAGGGGTCGTAAGATCATCGATGTCTATGGCCTTCGCGGCTACTCCAGGTTCTTCTCCTTCGCTGATTACTGCTGGTTCTTCGGTTTTGCTAGCGGCTTTTGGATCCTCTTGTAGCAGCGGACTCTCTTCCTCGCTGGTGGGAGTCGTTTCCTCGACTTGCTCTTTGTCTTCCTCCTGAGCGTCTGCTGGCTCGTCTTTGACAGTGATGAGAGCTGCGTCGTCTGGAGCAGTGATGCCTTTGTCTTCGGCTGGTGTGAAATCTTGTGGTACTCTTTCAGCTTCTTTCTCTTTCTTTTGAGTTCCTTCGTCTGGAACAATGAGACCTTTGTCTTCGCCTGGTGTGGAAACTTCTGGTACTGCTTTGTCTTTGTCTTCCTCCTGACTTTCTGCTAGCTGAGTTCCATCGTCTTCGGCAGTGATGAAAACTGCTTCGTCTAGAGGAATGTCGCCTTTGTCGTCGGCTGGTGTTGTTGCTTCTTCCTTGTCGTTTTCGTGGACGATGCTTGTTGTTTCGATCTCCTTAGCCTCCCGATCCTCGCGATTCTCTGCTGGATGAGTTCCTTCACCAGCAGCTACTGCCGCTTCTTTCTCTTCGTCCGCAGATACCAATGTTTCTTCAACTGTTGCTTCTTCAGCTTCTTGGTCCGGAAAGGCGACATCTGCGTCGTGAAATTCTTCCTTGTCCGGACTTATACCTTCTGCTACTTGAGTTTCGTCGTGCACCTCTTCCTTGTCCGGAAGTGTATCTCTTGCTACTTGAGTTTCGCTGTGCACCTCTTCCATGTCCGGAATAATATCTTCGTCTACTCGAGTTTCCTCGTGCACCTCTTCCTTGTCCAGAATTATATCATCGGCTACTTGGGTTTCGTCGTGCACCTCTTCCTTGTCAGGAATTATATCTTCGGCTACTTGAGCTTCATCGTGGATCTCTTCCTTGTCTGGGATTATGTCTTCTGCTGCCTGAGTGCTCGTGGAAAGATCATCCGTTCGGAGAACTGTTGTTTCTTTCTCTTTCTCTCCGCTTGGATCTTGATCTTCTGCTACTTGAAGTCTTTCCTCGCGTTTGTCCGCTGCTTCCATCTCCAAGTTCTCTGCGATCTTAGCCCGAGTTTCTTCACTGCTCACTGTTTCTTGCACCTTTTCTTCGTCGTCGCCAGCAGCTGGAACAGTCCTGTCCACGGCTTCGTCTTTCAAAGGTTCGTATTCAATCAGATTTGTTGACTCCTCGGTATCTCTAATATCTTGCTCGCCTTCTTCATGCCGACCTTCCACTGGATTCTGGATTGCTTCGTCACCACCTTCGACTGCCTTGTTCTCCGCTTCCTCCCTGGCTTCGATAGCTCCCTCGACATCTTGGAATGTCGACGGCAAGTCTTCTCCCCCTTTATCATCAGCTTCACTTTGCAGCGTAATCTCCTCGTGTGGTTTCTCTCCGACTTCTTCAGCAGCTGTGTTCTCAATTCCATCTTGAAGCTCAAGTCCTCTGTCAGCCTCATCTGTCTTCAATGGCCCTTGACTTTCCAAAACCAGTTCGCCAGCAGACGCTTGATCGTTTCTAGTCCTCTCTTTGCCATCTGCGTCTATTGCTGCTTGATCCTCAGCTCCATCCAACTGTTCTCCTGCTTGCTTAGTGACCACACTTTCATCTGTTGCTGGTTCAACTTCCACGGCACTGCCTTCGTCTGTATCCTTACTTTTCTGGATGCTATGATCTTCGGTAACTCCAGAGTCCTCCAGCTTCTCAATTTGTGCATCTCTGCCGTCGTCAGCCTCAACTTTGGATTTGGCGTCATCGTCCAAAGTTGTCCCGCTTTCTTCTGTTGTCATCGTTGGTAGTTCGTCTTCGGTTCTCTTGTCAACAGCAACGGTATCTTTTGTTTCTTCTGATGATCCGGCAGCTAGTTCGTCGCCCTCGATTTTGTCTAGAGGTACTGCATCTTCAACGTTGGAACTTTCGCCTTCCTGATCAGCCTTGTCTTTGGTTGGTGTCCCGTCAACTTGGTCTTGTCCGTGCAATGTGGTCTCATTCTCTGCTTCGTGGACTTGCTCAGCCTCGCGTGGTGTTTCTTCAGCCGCTTCTTTCTTGTCTTGAGCATCAGACTCTGGCGCAGCAGATACTTGATCAGTTCTATGATCCTCGCCTGCGTCTACTTCGTGATCTCCACTGCTCGTCTTTTCTTCGACACTTTTGCTTCCAGATTCCTCTGCGGCGTCTATCTCCTCCATCGGTTCTGTTGCTAGTTGTTCCTCACTAACACTTGCGCTTCCGTCTGGAACAGCTTCCTCGAGTATCCCAGATTTGTCAGCCAGCTCTTCTTCGGCTTGCACTTTACTTTCTGGATCTTCTGCCACATCGACCAGCTCATCAGCTCGTTCTTCCGTCCCTGTTGTTGTATCCACTGCAGCTTCATCCTCTTTCTCCACTTCCCTGCTGTCAACAATTTGCGATGATGTTCTCTGCTCCTCACCAGGTTTTTCGTTTCCTAGCGACGCAGCATCTGCTTCGTCCGATGCTGCACTCAATGCTTGATCTGGGATCTCCTTAGTGACACTCTCTGGTGTTGTTGCAACGTCCTCATTTTGTCTACTGTCAACGGCTTCTGCTGTACCAGTAATCTCCGACTCAATTCTCGCGTTTTCATCGACCTTCTCTTTGCTTTCCCCAACTTTATCCTCGCTCCGCGCATCATCGATTTCCTGAGCCTCTGCTGGCTTTTCGGGTTCATTGAGATCTCCAGCCTTCTCATCTTTGTCTTCGATTGTGGTGTTCTTCAAGGGCCTGCTTTCCAGTTGTTCAGAGTCTGCTACTGGTGCTTCGTTGTCTGCGTTTCCTGCTGCTTCGACCCTGTCTTCCAGCTGAAGCTCCTCCACTTGTGATTCTTCGTTGCTATTCAGCTCACTGTTTATTACGAGGTCCCGTGACTCCGCCTCAAGTTGCTCTGCTGCTGGCTCTTCACGGTCCTGCGTTTCCTGCTTCTCTAATATCATTTTCGACGTAGATTCATCCGTGTCTGCTTCATTTGTTGCCGTCGCAGGGACCAATTCAATCTCCCTTGCTACTTCTGGTGTTTCTGCAGTAGTTTCCACCTGGTCAGGCACTGTGTTTCCAGTCACGTCTTCATCATTCGCCGACTCGACGGCTTCAATCTGCTCCATCACCTTAGAAGCGTCCTCGCTCGATACCGTTTCCTCGATTTTCGCTTCATCGGCTGCTACTTCCTTTTCCTCGGGAACGACTCCAATCACCTTAGTCGTCTCGGCCTCCATTTTCACTTCATCGTCCACTGCTTCCTTTTCCTCAGTGCTGGCGAAGTCCTCCTCGATTTGATTACTCGTCTCTAAAGCAGCTGCTGTCTCCTTGATCTTCACGTCATTGTCTGCTGTTCCCTGAATCTCCTCCATCGGTGCTTCTAGAGAAGTTTCCACCTGGCCTGTTGCTTCAATTTTTACTTCATCACCGGCTGTGTCGTCCTCGTTTGTGGCAGCTGCTATTTCTGAGAGATCTTCTACCTGGCTAGGCACTGTTTCCTCGAACTTCTCTTCATCTGCCGTCTCAGAAGTTGATATACTCTCTGTGGCCGCTTCCACAGGATCGAGTGGTTTCTCCTCGTTTGGGATCGTTTTCTCAACTGGACTCGCATCAGTTTGTTCCTGCTGGACGGTCATTGATTCCTCCTCTGATTGTTGTTCCTCAGCATTCAATGATGTCTCTTCGAGGCTTGGTGATGGCTCGACTTCAACAGGGCTTCGTTCCGTAGTCTCTACTTCAGCGGGTTCTTCTGTAGTAAGTGGCTCGCTTGCTGCTTCTCCGGTTCCAGCTTCTTCCGATCCAGCTTCCACTTTTGTAGCCTGCTCCAACGGGTTGATATCAGCTTCGGGAGTTTGAACTGGCGCTCCGATTGTTGGGGCTATAGGTTGTTCGTCAACTTTTGCCTCCTCAGGGTCAGCGGGCGTTGCTTCTTTTTCCTTCGCTGGAACATCTTCTTCTGCTGTTGGATTCTCCACCTCGGTCGGTTTTGGTTCTTCCTCCACAGGTGCGTTTACTTCCTCCGTTGACTTGTCAACTGGCGTTGTTTGATCCACACTTTGTTCTAGTGTACTCGCTGCTGGTGCTTGCATAAGATCGGCTGCTTTCTCGGCCTCGTCTGGCGTTGCTTCCTCGACTGGATTCTCATCAGCTTGTCTTGGCCCTACGGCCGGCGATATTTCACTGTCTTCCAGCGTGGTTTCAATCCTCACTGCCTCAGCATTCAGTGAAGTCTCTTCGAGGCTTGGTTGTGGCTCGGTTTCGACAGGAATTGGTTCGAGTTCCACGGTTTCAACCTTGGTAGTATCACCTGTGACGACTGGCTCGGTTTCGGCAGGAATTGGTTCGGGTTCTACGGTTTCAGCCTTGGCGGGATTACCTGAGATGAGTGGCTCGGTTTCAGCAGGGATTGGTTCGGGTTCCACGGTTTCAACCTTGGCGGGATCACCTGTGATGAGTGGCTCGCTTTCAGGGATTGCGCTGTCTCCGTTTCCACCTTCTTCCGATCTGGCTACTTCCAGTGTTGGTGCTTCAACAAGTTCCTCCAGCGGCTTGATGTCAGCTTCGGGAGTTTCCACTGGCGCTCCGATGCTTGTAATAGAATTTAACTCGTCTATCAACGCAGCGTCTGTGCTGTCGCCAGCCTCTGGAAATATAACTTGTTCGTCGACTTTTTCCTCCTCTGTAGAAGCTGGTTGTTCTTCGGTGCTTGGTGTTTCGGTCAACTCTTCCATGGGAGGTTTGGAAGTCTCGGCTGTTGTCTCATCCACATTTTGATGAGTGGCTTCTGCAGATGTCTCCACAGGTTCAACAACTTCCTCTTCCGGAGCTTCAACAAGCTCCTCCTCAGCTCGTTCTTCTGGAAAAGTTGTAGCAGCTTCTTCATCCCCGCCCGTTGCTACAGCTGGTTTGTGTGTTTCAAGAGCTATTTCCTGCTCCATCACTTCAACTGGCTCGTCCATAGCTGTTTCGTTCGGTTGAGCCGGTTCTTGTGTCTCTACAGAAGTATCCAGCTCGTCAGCCACTGTCTCTTCAACTTTTACATCGTTTGTTGTTTCCGGAATCTCCTCCACCACCTTTGGTGCCTTTACTGTTTCTGAGAAAGTGTTTTCCTGGCTAGCCACTGTTTCCTCTTCATCAACCAGCTCCTTATTTTCTGTCACTGTTCCGCCAAGCACAGTATTTCCTTCGTGATCGGCTGCAACTTCATCCACCACCAGTGTTTCTATAGAAGTCTCCAAGTCATTAGGCATTGTTTCCTTAGTACTAGTTTCATGATCGGCTGCTTCCATCTCCTTTGGTGTTTCTAAAGATGCTTGCACGTCAGTTTCCTCGACCTGTTCTTTACTATCGGATGTTGTTTCCTTCTCGTCAGCGATGGCGGTCTGATCAGACACTGTTTCCTTAACTCCATCGTCCACTGGTTCCGTTTCCTCCGTGCCTGCAACGACTGCTGGTGTCTCAACACTCGCTCCTGTATCATCCTCTGTTTTCTTTTCCTCGTTGCTAGCGTCGTTTTCATGCGGAGTAACTTCTTCAGAAACTGTTTCTAAAGATGTTTCTACCGCGTCCGAGAGTGTTTTGTCATTCGTTTCGTCATTATTCCCTTGTTCCTTCTCAGTGTTCCTGGCTCCACTTTCCTCCATCGCTTCCACCTTAACATCTTCATCAGGAACAGTAAGGTCGCGTTCCCCATCAGGCAAGCTTTGACGCTCAATATCCTCTGTTATTTCAGCTACCGTATCCACGATGTCATCTCCTGGTGTGCCTTCAGTCGCTGAATCTTCTTGGCCATGATCTCCAGAGTTTCTTGCTGCATCAACAGTTACTGCTTCTTCAACCATGTCCGACTTTTCTTGCAAATCACTTCCGTCGCTTGTCGCTGGAATCGAGGCCAAAGTATCAACATCAGCTGCTGCTCCAACTTCTTCTTTCGGACTCGAGTTCTCCGGATTACCTCCCACTTCCAATGACGATGTCCCTTCGGCTACTGTTTCATTCTCATGTTGACTACTCTGTTCCTCGATCTGATGTTCCAAATGACTTTCAGGGGACTTCTCTTCGTCAGGGATCTGGGCATCACTCTCTGCACGAGGTGCTGCTTGTTCGCTTGTTCCAACTTCGATGCCACCTTTTCCACTATCGTGAAAACTTTCATCAGAAGTGTTCCTGTTCTCAGATTCCCCGACGACTGATCCGCTTTCCTCTTCAGTGTTCGCTGGATTATCAACCTCGGCCAGACTTGGTTCGTCTAACTTGAGTTGATCATTGCTTTGCTGTGGATCTGTTTCTTCCAGTGACTCTTGTCCACTCCCATTTTTCGTTGCCTCTGCTACTCGATCCTCGGCTTCTAGCTTACTTCCAAGAGTCTGATCTTCGAGAAGAACCTTACCATCAAGATCTTCGCTTGATACGTCCGTTTGTGAACTTGCCTTGTCTTCGTCAACACCATCTTTCACAACCTCTTGTACCCCGTGCTCGACTGGAGCAGCATCACGATCACCTTCTACTGCTGGATCACCTTTCTCGCTTGCTTTAATCGTCACGGTTGCTGGTAAAGGTTCCTCCACTGCGTTCATCTCAGCTCCTTCTCCGTCATCTTTACTTTCAAGTAACGCTTGACCACCATTTTCTTCGACTTTATCCACAAGTTTCTTCTCGTCCAGAGGCTCCACTAAAACAGCCGCCGGATTCTCTTCCTCAGACTTACCATCTTCGACAGGCTTTGATTCTTTTTCTCCAGATCTAACGCTTAAGTCCTTTTTACTCTGATCACTGTCTACTCCACTCTTCTCCTTATCCAAAAAACTAACGCCGCTCAAAGAACTATTCTCACTCTTGCTTTCTAAAGCTAAGCCTTCGATGGCGATGCTCTCTTCGGCAGCCTACGAGAAGAATGCGATAGAAAAATCAAAATCTTGCCACTAAAATCTTATGCTAAAGATCTCTAAGCCATACCTGGATCGCGTCGCTATTTACTTCCGCATCATCTAGGCCCATGGCAGAGGTATTCGATCAAAAACAGCACCACGGATCGATCGATCCTCCAATGAAAGAACAGATTCCGCCTCTGCTCCAAGAATCAAGCCCGGGATCGCAAAGATCGATCGAAACCCGATGGATCGCTCGCCAGGCGCCAAGGACAACCTATCTTAATCCACTGAGAAGAAATAATCACCCTAAAATCTCATCATATATCCACATACACCGCCAACGTCTTGTCTCCTACAATATTCCTTCCAGAAAGGAATCGGATCAAAAACTTTGGGCGGGAAAATGCTTGCGTGTCAGGTCCACATGGCCCAGCATCTATCCACATCACCTTTCTTTTTGGTCGGCACCGTCCAAACTGTCCTCCAGCCTGGCATGGGCCACACAGGGCTAGCTGTCCAGTCATTCTTTTCTCTTTTTTCCTGGCCACTAGGTGGAGAAGTTTAAATGGAGGATGATGTGGGCAATCCAAAAGGTGGCAAAGATTGGAATCCAAATTCTAAAAGATATTCACACCGACATAAAGCTGTCCAAGCTGACGATGATTTTTAGAATAGTTCTTTGGTTGCATGCAAGCTAGCATTTATATTCCTTCCCACCACATCGACGAGAATAATATACAGAGCTTATCAACCAAACACAATTTTCTTTATACTATATAACTGTATGTACAGAGCTTCTTATCCAAACCATGGAAGCTCTCCGTAGAGAGAGCTGTTTCGCGTTTTCAGTTATTTCATATTGGCTCTGTGTTTTGTCATGCGATCAACTGCTTGGTTCTACTTTTGCTGTTTCATCTGATAGTTTTGTTTCCGAGGTTGTTTCGTGATGGGCTGGTTCAACAGAGTCAACGGGCTTGTCTTCCTGAGATTCTTTCGTAGTTTCAGTTTCGGTTTTGCTTTCAGGTTCGGTTTTGGTTTCAGGTTCTGCTGGCATCTCATTCTCGTGCGCTTCCTCTGCAATTGACTTTGGGTTTGAAGTCAGTTCTTCCACCTTTTCAGGGTCAGCGGCCGTTGACATTGTACTCTCTTCTTCTTCCTTGGCAGGAACTTCTTCTGCTACAGCTGCTAAATTCTCCACCTCGGTCGCTTGTGGTTCATCGTCCAAACTTGGTGCGTTTACTTCCTCCGTTGACTTCTCGCCAAGGTCAACTATTGTTGTCTGATCCACACTTTGTTCTGGTGTACTTTGTTCTAGTGTACTATCTGCTGGTGCTTTCTCAACCTCATCCGGCGCTGTTTCCACGACTGGATTCTCATCAGCTTGTCCCGGCTCTAGGGCCGCTGGTACTTCATTGTCTTTCGGAGTGGTTTCAATCTTCTCTGGCTTCTCAACTGGTTCTTGTTCCTCGGCATTCAGTGGAGTCTCCTCGAGGCTTGGTGGTGTCTCGGTTTTGCCAGGGATTGGTTCGGGTTCCACGGTTTCAACCTTCGCGGGATCACCTGTAATGAGTGGCTGGCTTTCCGGCATTGCACGGTCTCCGGTTCCAGCTTCTTCAGATCCGGCTACTTCCAGGCTTGGTGCATCAAGTTTTTCCAGTGGCTTGATGTCAGCTTCGGGAGTTTCCGCTGGGTCTTCCACCGCCGCTTCAATGTTTGCAGCAGGATTTGATTCTTCTATTGATGCAGCGTCTGTGCTCTCGCCACCTTCTGGGAATATAACTTGTTCGCCAACTTTTTCCTCCTCTACCGAAGCTGGTTGTTCTTCTGTGCTTGGTGTTTCAGTAGACTCTTCCGTGGGAGATTTGGAACTCTCGGCTGTTGTCTCATCCACATTTTGATGCGACACTTCCTTGGGTTCTCCAGGCGTCTCCACGACTCCAGCAGCATTCTCTTCTGCAGTTCCAACAAGCTTCTCCTCAGCTGGTTCATGTGGAGGAAGTGTAACAGCTTGTTCTGGCTCTTGTATCTCTAGAGCTCTTTCCTCCTCCTGTGCTTCAGCAGGCTTGTCCATTTCAGCAGCTGGTTTGTTCAGACCAGTCGTTTGATCCGCCAGTTCCCGTGTGTCGTCCTCTACGTGTTTCTCTGCAGGCTCCTCCATTGGTTCATCTGCTTGAGCTACTGCTTCTGTTTCAAGAGCTTTGTCATCTTCCGTCGTGGCAGCCGGTTCCTTTGCTTCCAGTTCCTGTGTTTCATTGTTGATTGTCTCGTGCTTTTCCGGAATCTCCTGTTTTAGTTCGTCCAGCTTCGTAGTTTGGACTGCTTCTTGTGGCACAGGAGTTCCTTCAGAATGCTCCACCATTGCAGGAACTGGCTCATCCACACTGGTTAATTCTGCAGCTGGTTCATCCAAACTAGTTCTTTCAGCTTGCTCCTGTGTCTCACTGGCTGGTTCGTCTACTTGTTTTTCAGGAACCTCCACTGGATCATCCATCACGACCGCTGGATCGAGCTCGTCCTTGCTCGTTACTGGTTCCTGTGTTTCAAGAGCTCTTTCGTCTGCTTCTTGTTCCCCGGGCTCTTCCACAGTCACAGCTGGTTCTGGTTCCTCACTTGGTGTTTGAGCAACTGTTTCCTCTTCAGCCTGTTCCAGAACTTCAACAGACTCATTAGCTGGTTCATCCACAGCTGGCGTCTCAAGTAGTGGCTCTTCTGAAGCTGTGTCTTCAGCAGGTTCCTCTAACTTAGCAGCTGCTTCCTCCTCGCTTGTCGTTTGAACCGTTTCAGGAACTGCTTGTTGTTCTGGAAGTTCGCCTGGCTCATTTGGAGTAGGAGCTGGTTCATCCACAACTGGCTCGTCAACTTCAACAGGCTCCTCCACGGAAGATGGTTCTTTCTCACTCGTTTGATCCTTTGCATGTTGCTCTGGAACTTCGACTAGAGTAGCAGCTGGTTGATCCACAACCGGCTCATCCGCCACCACAGATGATGGTTCCTTCTCACTCGTCGTCTCAACAGTCTGGTCCTCTGCATGTTGTTCTTGAACTTCAACTGGCTCAGCATCTAGAGTAGAAGCCGGTTGATCCACAACTGGCTCGTCTGCCACCACAGAAGATGGTTCCTTCTCACTTGTCGTTTCATCCTTTGCAAGTTGTTCCGGAACTTCGACTGGCTCAGCATCTAGATGTGAAGCTGGTTGGTCCACAACTGGCTCGTCGGCCACCACAGAAGATGGTTCCTTCTCACTCGTCGTTTCATCCTCTGCAAGTTGTTCTGGAACTTCGACTGGCTCAGCATCTGGTTGATCCACAACTGGCTCGTCCGCCACCACAGAAGATGATTCCTTCTCACTCGCAACAGTCTCGTCCTCTGCAAGTTGTTCCGGAACTTCGACTGGAACTTCAACTGGTTTTGCATCTAGAGTAGAAGCTGGTTGATCCACAACTGGCTCGTCCGAAGCTGTGACTTCATCGGGTTCCACCACCAAAGAAGATGGTTCCTTCTCACTCGTTGTTTCAACAGTCTCATCCTCTGCATGTTCTTCTGGAACTTCGACTGGCTCTGCATCTGGTTGATTCGCAACTGACTCATCCGAAGCTGTAACTTCCACCGGTTCCTTCGTATTCTCATCCTCTGCATGTTGCTCTGGAACTTCGACTGCCTCACCTAGAGCAGAAGCTGGTTCATCCACAACTGGCTCGTCGGCCATAGAAGGTGGTTCCTTCTCACGAGTCGTTTGAACAGTCTCATCCTCTGCATGTTGTTTTGGAAGTTCGACTGGCTCAGCATCTAGCGTAGAAGCTGGTTGATCCAGAACTGCGTCCGAAGCTGTGACTTCAGCAGGTTCCTCCACCACCAATGGTTCCTTCTTGCTCGTAGTCTCATCCTCTGCATGTTGCTCTGGAACTTCGACTGCCTCACCTAGAGCAGAAGCTGGTTCATCCACAACTGGCTCGTCCTCCTCGGCCATAGAAGATGGTTCTTTCTCACTAGTCTCATCCTTTGCATGTTGTTCCGGGACTTCGACTGGCATAGCAGCTTGTTCATCCACGGGGGATGTCTCAACGGGCTCCTCCAAAGTTTCGACTTCAGCAGGCTCCTCCTCACGTGTTGCTTGAACTGTTTCTGTCACCAGTTCTTCTGGATGTTGTCCTGGAACTTCAACAGGTTCATCTTGAGTAGGAGCTGGTTCGTCCACAACGGGTGACTTTACTGGCTCTTCAGGAGCCTCCTCCAACTTAGCCGATGGTTCCTCCTTGCTCGTGGTTGGAGCTATTTCATCCTCTAAATGCTCTTCCGGAACTTTGACAGGATCTGAAGCTTCAACTTCAGCAGGCTCCTCCACATTAGCAGATGGTTCCTCCTCGCTCGTCGTTTGAACTGTTTCAACCCCCGGTTCCTTCAAATCTTGTTCTGGAACTTCGACAGGTTCATCTCGAGTAGAAGTTAGTTCATCCACGACAGGTGCCTCCGCTGGCTCTTCCAAAGCTTCACCTTCCTCCAACTTAGCAGTTGATGGTTCCTCAGTCACGGGTTCCTTCAAATTTTGTTCTAAAACTTCAGCAGGCTCGTGAGCTGGTTCGTCCACGGGGGGTGTCTCCACCGGCTCTTGCGAAGCTTCACCATCAGCAGGTTCCTTCAACTTACCCTCGGCTGGATCCTCCACAGTCGTTGTCTCTGGCGTCCCAAGAGCTGGTTTTTCAGCCTCGGCTGGTTCCTCCACAGTCGTCGTCTCTGGCGTCCCAAGAGCTCGTTCTTCAACCTCCGCTGGTTCCTCCACAGTCGTCGTCTCTGGCGGCTCAAGAGCTCGTTCTTCAACCTCGGCTGGTTCCTCCACAGTCGTCGTCTTTGGCGTCCCAAGAGCTGGTTGTTCAACCTCGGCTGTTTCCATAGTTGGTTCTTGTTCTTCCGTTTTTGCTTCAACAGTTTCCTCTAAAGCTGGCTCAGAGGCTGCTGCTTCCTCTTTACCAATAGCGTCATCCGTAGTTGACGTAGTAGTATCCAGCTTATCCTCGGCCGGTTTCTCCGTCTCTGGCGTCCCATCTTCAACCTCGGCTGGTTCCATTGTCCCGATGGTTGGTTCTTGCAGATCACGATCTGTTGATGATGGTTCTTCTGCTTTTCCTTCAACAGGTTCCTCCAAACCTGGCTCAGATATTGTTGCGTCCTCTTTACCAATAGCGTCATCCATAGTCTCCAACTCATCCTTGGCTGGTTCTTCCACTGTCGTCCCAAGAGCTGGTTCTTCAACCTCGGGCGGTTTCTCCGTCTCTGGCGTCTCATCTTCAACCTCGGCTGGTTCCATTGTCCCAATGGTTGGTTCTTGCAGATCACGATCAGTTGATGCTGGTTCTTCTGCTTTTCCTTCAACAGGTTCCTCCAAACCTGGCTCAGATGCTGTTGCGTCCTCTTTACCAATAGCGTCATCCATAGTCTCCAACTTATCCCCGGCTGGTTCTTCCACTGTCGTTGTCTCTGGCGTCCCAAGAGCTGGTTCTTCAACCTCGGCTGGTCCCATTGTCCCGATGGTTGGTTCTTGCACATCACGATCAATTGATGCTGGTTCTTCAGCCAAAGTCACTGGTTGATCAGTGCTCTCTTCAACCACGCTAGGAGGCTCAGCTTTGGCATCAAGAACTTGATACTCAGGTTCTTCCGCCGCTTCAACTTGAGGCTCATCTGCTAGTGATTTCGTTCGTTCAGTTTCTTCACCAGTTTCTTCCGGCGTCTCGGCAGTTGGCGCTGCTTCAACACTTGTTTCAACTCCCGTGTCCTCTTTCCTGTCAAGTTCAGCCCCAGCCTTCTCATCTGAAACAGCTTCCACGGTTGGAGCAGCGTCGTCAACTGTTGCATCGGGTGAAACTTCAGTTTCGACGTCAGGAGCGGAGCTCGTAACCTCGGAGTTCTCCGTGATATCAGGTGCCGTTGTCGCAGGAATATTAAAAGTTTCCGGTGCAACTTCTCTAGACTCTTCGTTTGGTTCGAGAGTATCCTCTTCCTTGACCTCCAAAGTATCAGGTCCTTGAGCTCCAGCCGTTTCTGGAGGAGGCTCGACGCCTCCTTCTTCACTTAGCACAGGCTCTTCAGTCGGTGTAGCGTCAAGAGCCACTGTCGTGTCTTCTAACGCAGTACTTTCCTCACTCTCAACAGGCTGAGTAGTAGAAGAAGCCGCTTTAGCGCCTGTTTCCTCCGGCAAGCTCACTGGAGCTGCTTGTTCTTTCGCAGCACCGGCACTGTCCAAATTGGTTTCCTCGCTCACAGGTTCTTCACGATCCTTTGACTCAACCTCAATCTTGCTATCTTCAACCTGTGGCGTCTCTTCTTCAGTTGGAATTTCTTCCGTTTTTTCTTCCATTTGCGGCACAATCTCGGCCTGAGGAGCACTCTCGCTGTCCACTTTTTCCTCAACTTGAGGAGGAGCTTCGTCCATTTGCAGTTCTTTGTCACCGCTAGACACATTGTCGGTTTCATGCATGGTTTCTGGTGTAGCAGCCTCGAACTCTTCGGCTTGAGCAGAAACTTCTTCCGTTTTCTCTTGATTATCTTTGCTTTCTGGCACTTTGTCGACTGTCTCTGCCGCCAGAGTTTCCTCCGCATTCGGTTCGGTTTCTTCGACCTCGGCCTCAGTTTTATCTTCCGGTATCTGTTCGGGTTGATCGACAGCTTTAACTTCGCTTTCTCCACTTTCTGCTACATTCTCACGCTTGGCTTCCGTTATCTCTGGAGCAGTAGCTACATGGTCTTCAGGCTCGTCAACATTTCCTTCCACTGTCCCTCCGGTTTCGATGTTCTGTGGTACTTTTTCGTCCGCAGCGGTAGCCTTGTCTTCAACTCCCACCGTCGAATCTACGGGAGCTTCATCCGAAGGTAATGATTCGGGTACTTCCTTCTCCTCTGATGGTTTATCTGTCAAGTTTTCTAACTCCGACCTGGCTTGAGGAACGTTTTCTTTGTCCATGACATCGGGTGGAACGCCGCCACCTTGAAGAGGGGCTTCTTTGGCATCGATCTCCGCCGCTGGACTAAGTTGGTCGTCGATACCTCGTTCACTGACGGCTTCCTTGTTTTGATCCGTAGTTTCGTGTTTTCTAGTATCCTGTCCAGTATCTTCAGTAGCTTTGGTGTCTTCTGTCATAACTGGCGAGTCATCAGACGTTGGAGCCTCAGGCGGAACATCTTTCAGAGCCTCGGAGACAACAGCGGGAGAATCAATTGCCATCGCTTCAGATAGTGGACTTTGATCGTGTTTGGGATCATTGCTTGAATCATCGGTGCTCAAGGGCGCGTCAGCCGCTGGAACTTTAGAAAAGCTCTCCGGGGGAAGTACCACTTGTTGGGGTAAATCATGAAAAACTTCCTGACCTTGAGGACTTTCGGGTTCCTGGAAACTCTAAACAGCTCAAGAAAAGGCAAGCGATATTGGAGAACATCATCTTACCGCTTCAACTTTAGACATTCCAACTGGAGACTCCTCAGCTTTTCCAGGAATCTCACGCTGTTTGGGAGTCAGCAATTAATATTTCGCAGCTCTATGGACAAGAGTACCTCTTTATTGATATCGTTCTCAGGCTTATAGAAATCCTCCACGACGGTCTTGAGTCCTCCCAGATATCTTGCTGCACGAGAAAATCTTGGTAGAGTTGGATAAGATCAAACAAGAAACTCGGTTGTTTACCTTTACCTTCACTGCTACTCTCTCCATTGGAAGACAAGGGAAGTGAAGATCTCTCTGACGAATCTGGAGTCCGACGAGATGGACTCGACTTCACAGGCATCGAAAACCCGTCTAGTTGCTGGACAAGATCGTGAAAAACCTCCTCCTCTTGGCCCTCCTCTTCGTGCTCATCCATTCCTTTGATTTCCTCCTTCTGGATGGTCTCAAAGTCATCTTTTGGTTCGTCGGCGATTAACTTCTTGCCAGTCTCCTGCAAGATCAGATCCAAAACGAATGAGAAATCCAGACCACCACGATAGATCGAAGCTACTTTGATCTTTGTGGCGACTTTGGAGGCCGCCTTGGACGTTCTGTGGTGGCCGTCATCCTTCTCTTTCCGTTGAGCGTTTCCCATGATGAATCAGAAGAACACACAACTATGTAAAACAATGATACTAGAAATCTCTCGCTGCTCCTCCGTGCAAGGGGCTTGCTTCGTGCAAGCTTCTAAGAAAAACCGGAGCAAGGGAACAAAAACGCGAATGAAATCCAAGCTTGCGATCAAAAAAACAGTGCAAGTATGAATCACGGTCTCCAAAATCCCTGTCGAGAAAGAGGAAAAAAATCTATATACACGAGCACGCACACCGATCTCTGCGAAACCAGCAAAATTTACACAAGAAAGCGCTGAATGCCGGATTCTAGCACGAATAGCACGAAAAAAATCACTCCAGATTCACAAAATTACGCCAGCGCCAGGATCTAAGCCCCTCCCTCTCGCCACAACTTTCCTCTTCGATGGCGCCACGATAAACCCTACAGTGAAAAAACTGTGAAGGCCGGACCAATGCCAGCTATGAGCGGCGATCGTGGCCGTCCATATAGGAACGATCCAAGCCGTTCACTGACATTGTAAACAGAAAATATTCTTCCTTCCCCACAAGAATGACTTTCACGTAGTTGGCTTGGATCTTTTTAGAATTAAACAAAGTGATTATCCTAAAAATCGCTTTGCTGGAATGAGTAGAGAATAAAATTTATTCGATGGCCTTTGCTGGAAAGAAGCAATGCGAGAAAAAAAAACAATAGAAAGTCGGTCTCTAAAAAACAAGCTTTTCTTGTCTCTTTGCCTCCACAGTGCGTCAACGAAGAACTTCAAACCGGGAGAGATCTGGGAGCTCTACCTTTTGGAAGAACAATTTGGACGGAGAGAGATCTCGCGGCGGATCAATAGAAACTTCAAAAACTTGAGTGTGTTCTTGGTGTGTCTCGCGGGAAACGAATCTCCGGCTCTTAAGACGTAACCATAGCCATTTTAGATAAGCACCTAGCGAAACATTTAGTAAGCCATCCAGGGAAGAAACGCAAAGAGACTCTGAAGAATGGTTGGATGGTTTCCTCTTGTCAGTACCCACCTAAGCAACCCAGGCAAGGTAGTGAACACACCTGCATCACCGGGGACCTCGGAGATCCGCGACACGAGCCACGCCTTGGCGGTCGCGGTGTGCATCGGTAGCATGCTCACAATCTCCCGTCGCAAGAGTCTGCAATCAAAGAAGGGAATGGAAATGGTTTCAAGTTAGAGTGATCGTTCTCGTTTCATGGAAGAAAAACTTATACTCATTCCAGACTACACAATTGTTTGAGAAATCGTCAAACTTTGCAAGCGAGCACGTCAACAATCCTCCGAAAGAAACGCGATCTTCTTACGCACAGCAACGGAAAAAAAAGTGCAGCGTCCAAATAGAAAACTCACAGCGAAACATAGAGAGACATTTGGTAGGAAACTCATGTACCGTCTCAGGAAAAAAAACCAAACAAAGAAAAAAATAGATGAAAAACTCAAACCCAGCAAACATCGTCACACAACTCGAGCAGACAAAGAAACAAACAATAGATGTAAAAACTTAACCCGGAAACATTAAGACCCAAAACAATGCTATAGTCATTCCAAACTACGCAATTGTTTGAGAGATCATCAGATTTTGCAAGCAAGCACGTCGGAAAGAAGAGTTAAAAATTAGATCTTCTTACTAAAGGAAAACAAATGCAGACAAAAAAAAAGGAAAGAGATTTCATTTCAGGAAAAAAAACACAACCCGAGCAAACAAAGAAAAAATAAACAGATCTTCGAACAACAATGAAAGAACTTAACCAGAAAACAATAAGAGCAGAGCACCCAAAACAAAGAAAAACATGCAAGAGGAAGCAAAACTTACCCCGAAGAACGAACGCCGCCCAAGGGATTGCGCTGAGGCGCGCGCGCGCGAAAGAGCGGCGGCGCCTGAGGCCGGGCGGAGCGCGCAGCGGAGGCGGCATTGGCGAACGCCGCCCTCGCGAATCGTCCAGCACTTCTTGCAGCCATATCTTTCCTCTCATGCAGGGTTTAGGGTTTGGGGGAGACCTGACAGAACATTCCCCCACGGATTTCCTGTCACCGAATATACCGTCAAGCCAAGCGGCAATAATTAATTCCATCAATTTAATCAGCAGCAAAGTTCTTCGTTCCTCGCGTTTCTCGAGTCTTTTTTCTCGTTTTTCTTCGTGATTTTTCCTTCTTTTTTTTGTGTGTTGTAGCCGATTTAAGCACTACATTCTTCCACCTGGAACATCTTGAGGACCGTTCTAAACACCCCCGCGTCGACTGGAATATCAGAAATCCTCGACACCAGCCACGCTTTCGCGGTGGCGGAATGGAACGGGAGCATTGTGGAAACCTCTCGCCGCAGCCTGCATTACCCAAGAAATAAAAAAATCCTTGTGTGAGAGTTGCGATTCGATGACCATAAACAAGATTTATCAAACAATGCATGCAACGCTGCGCTGACAGAAAAATCGACCAAAACACGAACCAAGCATGAAGAAAACCAAACGATCAGGAAAAACGAGACCACTAATCAACTCGAAACGCAAAGGAAAAGAACGAAACAAGCTTTACCAAAGAAAACCGTATGAGAGAGAAAGAAACCAAAAAATGCAGCATTGCATCCAAATGCGGGAAAGGAGAAATTTCACCCTGGGTTGGAACTTACACTGGCGAATTCATTCGATTGGCGAGGCTGCCCCGCCTGGGAGCGGCGAATCCCAATGGCGGAGGCGGCCGCGGGGCGGCGGCGGGGCGGCGCTGCGCCGCATTGAAGAAAGCCCTCCTCGCGAAGCCCGTCCTCGCTGCCATACACCCAAACCATTAGGGTTTAGGGTTTGAGCCACAAGGAACATTCGCAAGAATATCTACCGCGAGGGATATACCCATATACGGAAAGAATATTCGAGAGCGCAAATTCTTTGCGTCTTTGTTTCTTTGGTTCAAGAACAATAACTTTGCAGAAAGATTTCATGGCGGCGATTTTTCCTTCACTCGTTTCTCAGCGATTTCTTCTTTCTTGTGTCGAGTTCGTTCTTGCTCCCGTAGTGATGGGACGTGGAATTTGGACACGCTGCAGCACTCTGTCTGAAGACCACAGTTAAAACACGCTTTCTTTCCCGGGGGGCGGAAAAAAAATATGAAATCCTCAAGAACATGCAAGCCAGGCAAACCTGCTTTGGAGGAACTCTGCTGCAAAACTTTTTTTTTTTTCAGAGTCTATGGTGAGCACAGATTCGTACACACCTGCGTCGACAAGTATCTCCGAAATCCTCGAAACAAGCCACGCGTTTGCCGTCACCGAGTGCATCGGCTGCATTGTCAGCACCTCGCGGCGCAACCTGGAGACATACCCGCAAAAACAAAGTTTTTCAGTCCACTTTCCCCGTCAATGTTATCTACAATGACGGGAGAGCTTCAGTGCTGCTTAGCTAAGCCTCCAAAACCCAAAAACAATGGCGGCGTGTCCATCGCAGAGTGACACCCCTCAGGAAAGTATGCCACCGAGACAAAGAATAAAATCATCACAGAAATCTCTGGATTCTAGAACACCAAGTAGAACTAAACTTGTGCAAAATCATTCCAGCACAAGCATTCCATAATTCACCCCCAAAAAGGAAAGCCACCGAGACAAAGAACAAAATCATGCACTGTGACATGCAAAAACCTAACTAGAAGACCATTCCTCGTACTTGTACTGCAAAATCCCAATCTAGAACAATGCAGCACCAGAAATGCGACAATTCCAGCAAGAAAGACGCCTTCCCTGCCATCTACTCTAGAATCAATCCAAAGCGATTCTTACCCGGACGATTGCAAGCGAGCAATGCGCGCGCCGCTCCTGGAACTAGCGAATCCAAACCCCGGCTGCGGCTGCGCGGGCCTGGCCGCCGGCCGCGGCGCAGCGGCATTGAAGAATGCCCTGCGCGCAAAGCGCCCCGCGCTCCTGGCAGCCATAATCCCTAGCTAGGGTTTAGGGCTTCTCCAGATGCCCTAGAATATCCTCCCGCCGGTTCCCGGTTCGAATATCTTTGTTCTGGCAGACGCGTGGCCCAATCCTCGGCATCGGACACGTGCCATGCTTGACAATCGCCGAGAGCAACACGTGTCTTGTAAAGATCTTGAAGATATTTGGAACTTTCCACGTGTTTGCCCGGCAAATATCTCACACGTCACTGAAAAGCGTGTATTAGTGCTTAATGGTTTTCAGCGTATAGAAGCGAGGCTTTAGGGCACCTGGCAACAAATCCTTGGCAGTGCGTTGAGCGCGATTGTAAGTTTGATCATATTTCCTCCATTCTTGAGATGGTTTTTCTGCTATGAAATCTTCGATGGCTGCCTCGCATTTGGATCTCCTATGCTTTGGTTTGAATCGTGGTTTGAATCATCCACAGATCGCCATTCTATCGGTGTGTTTTCTTCCGGGATATTGGAACTCTAATGCTTGCATTCTCAAATATTTGTCGTATTTTTTCTTGTGGATCATTGCTTGTTCTTTCGGATCATTGGCAAAAGAAGTACTGATTTGGAAGCAATGCAGAGAACTCCGGACTTTGGTGATCTCGATCGACTGAGTACAACTTTACTTCCTGGATTTGAGAAAAAAAAAATGGCGTCGGCGAGTAGCAGCAGTGGCGGTGCCTGGGACGAGCTCAAGATCCAGATGAAGGACCTCCGAGCTCTGCTCCACAGCTCCAGCTTGATCGAGAGGAGGATCAAATGCGAAGTGAAAAGGATCCTCAACACTACCATCTCCAACTACGAGGACCCTCACCGCTACGAAAACTCCAACACTGTTCTTGAAATACTTTCAGGTATGATTCGCTATAGATCTTTGCACTTTTCCTTTTTGAATAAAAAACGATAGAAAAACAAGAGCTAGATTTTTTTGCCTGCTTTCTGGGATCTCATTCTCTTCTGTTTGAATGGTCTAGCTCCTTCTTGCCAGGTTCTCTGATGGGATCATTCACCATCACTCCCCATACTGTATGAGTTCCGTATCTATACTGAGAGACACACTGTACAGGTCGAGGCATCTCACCGCTAGAGGCAGCGTTTATGTGGATGGGTGCTTGGAGGCCATCAGCTGCGATCTCGCTGGTTTTCTCGGTCATGGGACTCAAGAACCAGGGCCTCAACTTGAACATCACCGATCCAGGAACTTTGGGGGGATCAGTCCCAGCTCTCAGCGAAGAACAGCTCTCCCAGCTCCAGACTTTCCGGGATCTTACGAGCCAAGCCGAGAAGGATCTCACGGAAGAACTCGCGACTGTCCAGGTGAGCTAAGCACTTCGGTTTTCCCTCAAGTGTTCGTTTGATCTTTGCAGATGATGCTGGCGGATCAGGACGTGGTGACTGATCTCTTGAAGGATGACGAAGGAGCGGAGGGATCGTCGTCCAGCTCCTCCAAGCTCAAGGAGACGCTCCATTCTAAAATCTCTAGCCTTCGCGATGTTTTAAAGCGGGCCGACCAGCTTCGCATCAAGACGCTGCTTGAGCTCCACTCTGTGCTGGCTCCCATCCAAGCAGCGCAATGTAGCATCGTCGCTTTTGAGGTCGCGTTTGCGATGCGCTCCTTAAATTCAGCCACACCACCCACAACATCGTGTCCTCGCAAATGATTCCCCAAAAACAGAATGACCAATGACCCCTGTGTGTGTGCAAATAATAAAGTGTATTTAGGTCATTGTTAGTTTTAATCTGTTATCATGTGATTAATCTAATAGAAAATCTATACAGAGTAATTTAAATTTATAGTGGGAGAGCTCCTCAAAACATTCCAAAGTGTTGCATAATTCTTGAAGAGAATTTCTATGCAAGAATGTAAGAACTTAAAAAGGTTTCATGGACAGGGATATGCTCTTTGATCTTGTGCACAACACTTGAAAGGAGAACTCACATACCTGGATGCTTGCAGTAAATTTGTCTGTATCACACAGTTCCCTCTTGGTCAGGAGTTGTAACAAAGAATTCCTCCATAGTATGGACTTCCACTTCCTCTAGAGCCGAAAGCTGATAACTTTCACGAGGGAAGCAACATAGCTGGAGAGCGCAGTGGAGGGCCTTAAGGCCTTCCCGGCAACCTGGTGCTCCACTTGCAAGCTACTGGGTCTGGCTTGTCAGCTCTTTGACATCACCGAGGTATGGGGTGTTGCGAAAGCATCCCATCACGTCGTTTCTCATCTGTGATCTCTTCAGCATCTTAAACAACTTGTCCACATTTCAGTTTATCAGGTAGAACCTTAAAGTTCATGGTTCGCTGTGTGACCTTTGGAGCTGGACTTGGACAGCCATGCATTGCATACAGTTGACTTAGCAAGCTTTAGAATGCAATGCACCGTATCTCCAGAAACAGTTCCTCTCATCGGTCTAGATTCCCTCCCTGTGTAAATCTGGGGCATCTCGACCAAGAGATCATCTACCAAATGTGTCCGATCAGCCCATGGTGAGCTGTAGACTGAAAGAGACGAATTCCCGGCGGGAGAGTTTGCCATTAGGAAGGATGGTACCTTTGCCAAAGCCTTAATTAAATTGTTTTCGCGCGGAGGAACAGAAAAACAAGCTAGGCTCAGATCTGAACTGTCCATCCATTGGAATATCTTGCAACGATCAACATTTCAAATTCAAATTCCTTGGCTATAGTGCCTGCTTGTCTTGTCACTCGAGCCGCCCAACGCCCTGGAACTTCCTTGGAGCTTTTAACCCCATCCTCTCGCAATCGTTTCCAAGGTTCTGTGGGTTCTTCTCGAGCGTCTAGCTTTTTTTGCTTGACTTGTCCCCATGTCACAAGTTTGGTTTAGGTTCTGGGTGAGAGCTACATGGCTCATAGTTATGCTCTTGGGACTGATTGTGTGGCCGTTTTGTTGTCTTGCACAGGTGGTGAGTTTCGTGAATGCCACTGCCATCACCAACATCTCCAACGAACGTCGTGATGCGCACTGGGATCGGTCGCCAATGCTATATCAGTCTCTATCAGGAAAAGCATAGTGGAGCATATCGTCGCTAGGCAAGAAAATGGATGGACGCAGCTCCAGTGGATCTGAGGGCGCTATTGCCCTCAGATTCACTGGAGCTGTTCCCATCGGTTTTCTTGCCTAGCGACCGATCAAGACTCTGATGTGACATTGGCACCTCTCTGCTTTTTGCGAGCAACCAAAGCAGCAGCAACCTCCCAGCATGATGGATTGTCGAGTGCCGCTTGTTCATTCTTTGCTTCATTTTGGAATAGAACTCGCCATTGAGATTTTTCTTTTCCGTTGGCTTTGATCTTGAAACTTCTGCACACTATGTAACTCGAGGAATGCGCGTGCAGAAGTTTCAAGAATCGACACATTTCTGTCCCATGATTCTCTTGCAGAACACTTCCATTCTGTAGCGCAGCTCGGAAGGATGCCAATAGCACAAAGAAAGAACACAAGGGGAGCACACGAACAAGCAAGCGAAAACAGTGAGGTACTTCAAAACTCCGATGCTCAAGCAAGTTTTGTGATTATTTCAGTGAACAGGCTAACTTTCTAGGTTCATGACAGCCTCCTTCATGCGCTTCCCAAAACACTTGCTCGATATTCTTTCGAGTCATGCCACTCTCTTGAGCGATTCCAGAAGTTGAGACGTGAGGCTATGTTTGCCCCGGGCTCTGGAACTAGCCCAGTCTCACATGTAAAATTTCTGAGGTGACGAATTCCTTTTGGCAAATTGCTTGTTTTTTCTTTGGTTGATTGAGAAGAATGAGCGGACGAACCCAGGGACACGTGATCCGCGTGGATTGGCGTGAACGTCGCTGGATCATAGTTCATCCTCTTCTGGCTACAGCACTGAGTGACAAGGTGCCACAGATTCCTAACCACAGATTCGAAGTTGCTATTGCCACCATCTCCAGGTTCTCCGGGACAGCAAACATCAGCACAGGCTTGCGCCTTTGCCGGGTTCCGGATGCAAGCTCATTTGAGGAAGTTCAAATTGTGGTCGAATGAAGCCTTACGTTTCCTTCTATGTGATTTTCCTACACGTTTCTCATATTATGTTGTTCCCATCCTTTCACCTTACCATGTAAGCTCAGCCCCCAAAAAAGCAGCCAAGGAAGCTGTCGTTGATTACCAGAAATTTGGACAAGCTTTCGAAAATGCGGAAGATCGCAGTGATGAGAAACGACGTGATGGGACGCCTTACCCCTTGAAGCTACTTCTCTTGCAATCTTCGTTTGCATGTAGTGTTGTGATTCACAGCGGCGGAGGCGATTACTATGCCTCATCCGGGCCACTCTTTTTGGCAAAACTCTCAGGCGGAATGATCGCCTTTCTTCCTTCCGAACAGTAAGCCACACTTGGCAATGATCCCGTTCGTCCCACGTTTTGGGAGGCCATTGTGATGAGCATCAGGACGCTGCGCCACGGGTATTACCCGATCGGCAATCCAGACGCAGAACTCCTTACGTGGAATGCCTCCATTGCATACATTTGCATTAGAAAGTTTTCGAAAAAAAATGCTGCGCTGCGGCATCTCCGGAAACAGTTCGTGGCATGGAAACTGATCGCAAAGAGATCATCGGCCAAATCCTCTCTGAGCCTATGATCAGCCCCTACGCTCAAAGTTTTCTTAAATTGTTTTCGCGCGCGAATTATAGATGAGATCTGGGCCGTCCGTTTTGAAGATCCCTTGGAATATTCTGCAACGAATTCAAACTCCTCTTGTCGGCATTGGTTTCTTGTCGCTCCATTTTGCATTGATTCCCGCCCTTGTTAAGAGCCCAGGCCTTGTGCTTAAAACTCGAGCATAGTTTCCCTTCAGCGCTCTCTCGTTTCACCACACATACGGTAAACCAGAAGAGCTTGAACTATGCTTTAAATTCGGGGCTCCTGGGACTGGTGCCTGCTCGCCATTTTTTTTTTTTTTTTTGTCTCAATGGGGAATTCTTGAAGAAAAGTAACACCTCGGCAAACATAGTGTCATTGTTGGATGAAACTGCTGATCATATGCTAGAACCAAGTTCCAACTCCAATTGCCAGGGAGTCATCGAGAGGCATCACGCCCAGCGTATAGGATTTCCTCGTTGTTCACGATATCATCAATCTCACTTCCGGCAAGATCGCCGAAAGTCCATCCATTTTCGACCAGCGGAGCATCTCCAAGGGTACCAGCCTTGTCTTTCTCGCTTGCTTCCACCATACCAAGCTTGGGCTCGTCTTTTCCAATTGCAGTCGCATTCGCTTCGCGAGCTCGGTTTCCAGTCGCAGTAGCATTGGCATCGCGAGCTCGGTTTCCAGCAGCAGTAACTCGTGATGGCGTTTCGCCACCTGCGATACTACGTCCGCTCGCAATCTCGATTTTCCCAGTATCAATACCGTTCACTACCATCGCGAAAGTTCTCACTCCGCCAACATTTGGAACAGTTGCCATCCCATCCGATCTGTTCTCCCCATTCGCAGCATGATCCTTTCCAGCCACTGGAGGAGCTTCCACCTTGCTGTTCTTCCCATTCGCAGTGTGATCCTCTCCAGCAACTGGACAAGCTTCCACTTCACTGTTCTTCCGATCCTTTCGAGCAACTGGAGGAGCTTCCACTTCACTGTTCTCTCCATTCGCAGTATGATCCTTTCCAGCAACTGGATGATCTTCCACTTTCCTGTTCTCGGTATGATCCTTCCCAGCAACTGGAGGAGCGTCCACTTCCGCCAGTGGAGGAGCTACGACCATCTTTCCCAGAACCGGATAGACTTGCGACTTAAACACCGTCTTCCTGATGGTGAACCCCGGCAACACCGAAAACGCCACGCTCTCACCGATCGCCAGCCTCTCCTCATCATCCTCGTCCTCCTCGAGATCATCCGCGGTGATCACGCTGTCCATGAACGCTGGCTCAATCTTCCTTCCAGTCGCTACGCGCAGAATCCTCGCAGCTGGGTAGAACGAGAAGGCCAAGCGATGGAGCTTCCACACCGATAGCGCCACCTTCTCGAACTGCGATCCAAGCTTTGCCTCGTCGAAGCCGGGGATCTTCCCCCGGAGCTCCTCCATCTTGGCCGCCGCAAAGACCTCCACTCGATCCTCGGGACAAGCTTGGAACTCCTGGAAGTAGCGGCGGCGCAGCTCCTCCGGATCGAGGAACTCGGTGAAGCCGCCATCCAGGCCAAAGGTTTCAGCTTCGAAGGCCGCGAAGAACACGTCGCCCAGCGCTGCGCGGACGGCGATCTTGCGGTGGAGCGGCCGCGCAAAGACGACCGAGGACGCCGCTAGAAACCGGGATGGAAGAACCGATGCGAGATTCTGGATCGCCTCGTTGGCCTGCGCTAGGGCCGCCTCGAAGAGCGTCGGCGTCGCGGACGAATCGGAGTAGGATCCCCCGAAAGATTGCTCCGAAATCTGGCGCTCCAGCCCGTCGATCTTGCGCTCTAGCTCGCTGGCCATGGATAGCGTCCTCTCCGTGTTCTTCTTCTCGAGTTCCAAAGCCCTGGAGTTGGTCTCGCGGATGCGCTGGATTTGCCACTGTAAACGCCGATTCTCCTCGTGCAATTGCTGCGCACAACCCTGGATTTTGCGAAGTTCTTGATCGAGCGAAGAACATTGCTGATCCAGTTCCCCATTCCTCCGGTGGAGCTCCTTGCAGTGCTGATCCTGATCAAGGAGGCGCTGTTGGAGCGCGCCATTGACACTGACCTGGGATTCGAGAGAATCCTCGAGCTTTCTCTTCTTCATCGCGAAGAGCGTCCCGAAGATCGAAGAGACGAACCACATACTAAAACCCTGGCGCTCTCTTCGCCCATCGCCCGCGCTTATAAAAGCGCTTCATATGAGCGTGATGTCACGTCCTAGTCTTAAAGCCCTCTAAACCCAAGAACCCTAAACCCTAGGTAGAGAGAATATGGCATCGCGCATGGCGGGTCGGGCATTTGGGCGGCGCATTCTCCAGGCGGCGCCGTCGGCGTCGCGGCGGTCGGCGCCATTTGGATTCGCGGGCGCCGCGCCTCGCAATCCAGTAAGATCCAGGTAAATCCCTTTGTGGGTGTCACAGGTTCTTGCTTCTTTGTGATCCCGAATCTCTCCTCCTCTTTGCGAATTCTCTTGTCCAGCCACTTTGCGAGTACATTCGTTATTCTTCTCTCCTCCTCTTTGCAAATTCTCTTGTCCAGCCACTTTGCGAGTTACATTCGTTATTCTTCTGTCCTCCTCGTTGCAAATTCTCTCGTCCAGCCACTTCGCGAGTTACATTCTAGTTGCCATTCCCTTCTCTTTTTGCTCAAACTTTGCAAGGTTTTCTAGCTTTCTCGTGTGCTGCCGCAAGCTCTCTAAGTTACCTTGCTTAGAGTTTTCTCTTCTGGCAACTTCCCGATTAGCTTGCGAAGTATCGTGACGATTTATCTTTGCTGTTGCCTCTTTGGAGATCAAAGTCTCTTGTGTGCTCTTCCACTGCGAAGTTACATTAGAGTTTTCTCTTGTTGGTATGAATGACTATTACACACGTCGTTGCTCTCTCAAGTGGCAACTTTGAGAGCCTGTAACAAATCTCGATCTCTGCCTGGCAGGATCTTCCGGCGGGAGCTTCTGTCGATGCGGCCGCTCCACAGCGCGACGGCCGACTGCTGGATGGTGTCGCGGATCTCGGGCTGCGCAACCTGCTATGAAGGTGATCTCAGCTGTCTCTTGGTTCGTTCTCGGATATGGTAGAAACTGTTGCCATCACTTTAATATCAAAGGTGGGTGTTTCAGGCATCTATCTCAAGTGGTTGACGATGTGCCTCGAGAATTCGCAGTCGGTGGCAACAACATGATCAAGTGAAAGAAACCAAGACGAGAAATACCTCCTGTGGTGCCAGCTTTGCCTAGACTTGTCATCAGTTTAGTTATCTTGTTCTCATGATTGTTCTCAAGAACTATCTGCAATTATTCAAGTGCACACATTTTTCTCGTTCGTTTTAAACGGAAATTTCTAAGTACCTTGCTTTGCTGCTACCATCGGTTGCCAAACTGTCCATCCCACTCTCGAAGCTGGTCGAGGTATCCAGCGTTATAAGATAAATTAACCTGCGGAGGATTGTCAAAAAAACGCTTGACAACAACACTTGACGTATAGAAGCATACCTCCTCCAGAGTACTCACGAAGTCCTGTGTTGTAAGTGGCCTTAGTTCTTGAGGCAGTGGCTGTCCAAAAGCATTTCTTTTGGCCTGAAAACGAGGATGAGTTCACGAAACAGTAAATTGAAATTGGAAGCAAGTCATTTACTTTCTCTAACTCGAGCATTTCTCGAACAGGCCGATACGCTGCAGCCACAGTTAAGTTCTGAAAGGAAGCAATGAACGTTTTGAATCACAAACAACTTAAGATTAAGAGTGACACCTTCAAGTCATTTGCGCTATAGCCATCAGTTAATTCTGCTACTCCTTTAAAGTCGAAGCCATTCTCAATCTCCTCCTTGGCAAGCAGCACAACAAGGATTTTTTCACGGCTTGATAAATCTGGAAGATCCACGCACAATCTGCCATCAGAGAGATGAGCAACAATGTCGTTTTACTATTGAAAGTAGACCTTTTCGGGAACTTTTGAATGACTGATTCGTCCAAATGGAAGGGTCGGCATGTAGCTGCCATCACCACAACTGACTCTGCTATTCCTGACATGAGCCGATCCCATCCATAGATAAACTCGGACTTGAACCTCGTCATTGCTTCTCCAGCTTGTATAGCGAAAATACTGTCGATCTGATGACGGCACTTACAAGAATAGAACAAAAATGAAAGTGAAATGCACCTCATCGAGAAAAATAATTGATGGAGCCAGCCTGCGTGCAATTGAAAACAGGGCTCTGGTCATCCGCTTCGGATCCTCAAGCCACTGCACCACAGAAGCTTCAGTGCCAAACTCACAACCTCTATTAAGGGTACCTTGTACTCAATAGAATTGCCTCTAAGCCAAAATAAGTTCGCGGAAGACTGGGCTGCAACGGCCTTTGTCAAGTAAGTCTTCCCAGTACCAGGCGGTCCATATAAAAGTACACCTTTGCAAGGCTATCCAGGCGTCAGAGACACAAAGGTCGTAAGCTTTCAAGACTTACACATGCCAACGCTCCCTTGGCAAAATGTTCTGGTCTCAGGAGGGGCACCACAACATGCTCTCCAAGAATTTTCTTCACATCCTCAAGTGCACCAACGTCATCAAATTTCGGTGCGCCGTTTGGCGCCAATACTGTAGACAACACAGCTTCTTCGAACTCGTCTTTTGCTACTAGCTGTCAAACAAATTAAAAGCAGTCAAATTTGATACAAGCAAATACCTTAGGACCTTGCGCATGCTTGAGCCGTCTCAGCTTGAGAAGCGCTCTATCCAAGCTGCAAACCTGCATTATCGATCTGATTAAACAGCACAATCTTCCACGTACCTGCCTGCCGAAAGAGAAGTTTTGGCAGTCGATTTGTCTACGTGAACATTCTGTGAGTTTGAATATTCGTAGCTCACTGCCCAACTTACAACGTACTCGGCCTCTGTAGTAACTTCAGTTCCTCAGCGTTCCTTCCAAAGAAGAATCGGCTTACCCGAGTATGTGAGAAGGAAGTCACATATTTGAAACTCGATAAATTCCAAACACACCAGGTTGTGGGATGTCAGAACCTGAAGAAACACTTTAACAAATAAAAAATGAATCGAAAAATAGAAACCTGAACCTTCTGTAATAGTTGGATATTCTTATTCGCAGTAACACGCTCACCGTCTTGCAAAAGAAGCGCTTTCCATCTCCAGAAATCTAGATCATCCTATGAGCTGCCAGAATCAGCTCAAGCCTAAACAGTCGTGTAAACGATACCTTTGGAGGAAAAATATCGACCACATTGGCGAATAAGTTATGTATACTCTTCAAGCTCTTCCTTTTAACCTGAAAAAAGCTGTCAAATGACAACGAGTGACAATTATAACTAGTTACCACAGAAAGAGGCTCATCTGCATCGGAAGTGAAGGTGGCAATAAGAGCGACGTTTCCAATCACTTTGTCCAATTGCCTTTGTAGATTGTGAATGATCTCCTGCTTCCAAGCTACAGGGACTGCTCTTTCAAACCATTGCTCAAGTTCCGAGAAGTACACAATCAAAGGCTTAGCGCTTCTACTTATCTGTAAAAATAAGATGAAAAAAAATCCAAGTATAAAAGACAGGATACCTCGCACAAAGCGCTGATAGTGGCTTGCCATGCTGCAAGGAACATTGTATTTCCAGATTGATCCTTGTCAAAATCAGACGCTAAAGCAAGGCTGTTAACATATTCTCGGTAAAGTTAAAAAACGAGCTTACCATAATGCCATTCAATGGGAGGACTTCTTCGAATGTCCTCGAACCTTGTTGTTAACTTGAGTGCGTCCTCCGTCGCATCAAAGAGGATCCCAATCTTTCCAGAAACACTTTCAGAGACGGCAATGACTCGACCTCTACAATCAGTCTCAACAAATAAGTAAATAAATATCGTAAAACTGAAAAACGCTACCTTTGCCTTTCGTCCCTTTTGCTTACGACACGATCACCTGAAAGCAGCATCTATGTCATTTAGGCAAATTGTAAAAGCTCTTACCTTTCCTGAACCCATTTTTGAAGCCCGTCACCTTCAATGGTGTACCACATGTTCAGTAGAATACAGAGGCAATATTACAAACTGTTACCTTCGACATATCATCACCTGCTTCAACTGCATCAGTATAACCATCACCGTGATCCTGAAAGGAACACAAATTCTCGTAAGTCAAATGGACTGATAACAAAACAAAAATACACGAGAAACGAAGATGGATGGACATACAAGTTCTGGCAAGGAACCAGAACCTCAAGCACATACTTGAGGAGCAAGATCTGTACTATCGAGCATTAGTAACGCTACGCCTTGATCATGAGCAATTGCTTTCACCAGCATTTCCTGGTACATTTCCGAATCTTTCACACAAAAAGTCAGAGAGTTCGTTTTCACTTTGGCATTGAGGCTTACTTTGTGGACCATTCAGCAAGATCGTATTGCTGGAGGCACAAAGGCCGGACAAGTGACTCGCTCGTCTAGATTGATCGAGGCACGATCCCAGCGCCTCAACCAGGAAATCCCGAGTGACATCACTGGACACAATTTGCAACAGTTAGCATACCAGCAACGCGAAATAAGATTATATACCTCAGGTAATATGGGAACTTCGTCAAAGAAGCGTTGATTCTCTCGGCGGGCTGTATTTTCTCCACGAAATACTTCTTCAGTGACAGCTTCAAACCTGTCCCGACCGCTTTTCTATACTCGAAAGCTTCCCTTGCGACAGTCACGTCTCTCTCGAGCCGTTCCCGTTCCTGCTGTGCCTCGCACAATGCCTTGGATGCCAAGTCCACTTTCCGTTCGGCCTCGCAGAGATCCTTGCATTTAAGTTCCTCCCTCCGCCTCTCGAAATCTAGCAAGTCATCAAACTCGTCACCATCCTGCTGAGCACCAAGAGCTCCATCCACCTGAAAAAACGCAAACATTATATGGCAGGAAACGGCAAAAACAAAAACGAAACTTACAGGTCCATTCCTGAATCCCACGCATCCGTCTTGAGACCGCATAAGCAACTTAGCACGCTTCCTATCAACTTTAGCAAGCTCAGCCAGCCTGCGCTGCCAGTCGACGTTCCTCTCCCTCTCCACCTCTTTGAGCAAGTCTCCATATCCATCACCGGCCGCGACACCCACGCCCGAATCCCGCTTCCTCTTGGTCGCCCTCGTCATCTTCTTCCCAGAGCCCAGCCGCGGACTCAAGCCAGCAGCATTCGAGAACTCCTGGTAGCTGCTCGTCTCCGCCGCTTGGCCCGCCACCACGTTTGAGTTCTCACTCGGCGAAGCGTCCAGGCCAGTCTCCCCAGGACCCTCGAGAAGAAGAGTGTGACCACCTCTTCCAAAAGAGTTCCCGGACTGTGGCGACGTAGTAGGCAAGCTCGCGGCCGGGATGTTGAAGATCAAGTCGCCACCATTGTCAAGAACCACGACGTCCTCCTCGTCACTCCCCTCGGTATCCTCTCCACAGCCATCGCCCACGGCGGGCTGTCCAGAGATGGGCGAAGCTCCCGCGGCGGAGAGCTTGGTGGTGTTGCCAAAGAGCTTGTTCATCACCACGTAAAACTCCCAGGGAGAGGTGTGGCCAGTGGGAGCGTACTTCATCCTCTCGCGCTTGTAGCGCTTCTTGAGGTTGTCCACCTTGGTCCGGCATTGCTGCTCGTTCATGCTGATGCCACAGAACTCGTTCACCTTGTTGGAGACCTCGGTCCACTGCGCCATGGTGAGATTGCCCATGTTGCTCTTGGTCCACACGTCCTTGAAGCACTCGAGCAGCATGATCGCGTGCATAAAAGGCCAGGAATCTCGGTTGGCCTTGCGCTTGCGCTGCTGCTGCTGCTGCTGCTGTAGCTGGCACTGTGATTGCTGCTGCTGCTGGGAATGGCTGGAATCGCCATTGGCGGCATTGCTCATCCCTGGCGAGAAAAATCACACTGTGAGCTCCGCACAGATCGATAGAATTGACAATCCCGAGGATAATTCTTAAAATCTAGCTGACAGGGATGGAAGAAACAAGAAATCTCAGGCGCTTGGATCGAGATGAAAATCTAGGCGAGAGAGGAAACGAAAGATTTTCGAAAATCTAGCCGAGAAATCTCTGGAATCTAGGCTCTTGGATCGAGATAGAAATCTAGGCGAGAAAGATTTTCGAAAATCTAGCCGAGAGAGGGAATGTCTAGCGCCGCGCATTCGCAGAAGCGCACATTTCTCACCTGACATCGATGCCGCCCCCGCCGCTGCCGCCGCCTCGCCCTTCCGCGCCCGGGCGGCAGCATCCAGGCTAACGTTTAGATCCATCCCCTTTTAGGGCTCTTCAAATTGGAGAGAGAATTTAGGGTTCTTGGGCTCAATGGCAGGGAGGGGAGGCAAAGCGCAGGAAGGCGGCAAGCGCAAGCGCGGAATGTTTAGCAAAGAATGTAAGCATGGAGTTTCTCATCTCTTTCGGTTTCTTTGTATCGATCGATCGCTCGCGCTTTTGCAGTGAGGCTCATGATGTATGGATTTGGAGACGATATTTGTGTAAGCTCGCTTTCTTGTTCTAGTATCTCTCTAAGCTCGTCGTAAAAGACTCCTACAGCCTCTTCAAGAATCGGTAGCTCTTATGGAGGACATGATGATCGAATACATCACTGATATGGTGTGCTTCGTTTTTTTCTTCTTACCTTTGCTAACTAGAATTTTTTCCAGGTTCACAAGGCTCAAGAAGTATCCTCGAAGAGAGGAAAGCTCACAACAGAAGACGTGATGTTTCTCGTCCGGAAGGTAACGATTTAATCTTTGTTTAGCGAAATGGTCATCGAGCTTCTATTGATCCAGGACATCCGCAAGTATGCCCGTGTGAAAGAGCTCTTGTCCATGAACGAGGAACTAAAACGTGCCAGGAAAGTTCTAAACGAGGACCTGGACGAGCAAAAGCTTGCCGCGCTAGAAACCCAGTGAAGAAGGCGACGCTAGCTCGTCGACAAGTAGCAGTAATTTATGCGGTAAGTAGCATACGTCCAGGGAAGAAGACAGTGACAAAAGTAAAAGCAATTCAAGCTCGACATAGATAGGTAGATGAATCCGGGTGATTCATACAGACGGGGATATAGATTGGTCGACCGATCCGGATGGTTGGTTCATACAGTCCTTTTGGTCATCTTCGTGGGAAGCAGTAGGGATGGCCAGGTTATGACAGGAATCTGTCATTACAGCACGGTGGAGGAGATGCCACCATTCGAATCCGTGCTTCGGATATCCTTCAAGACAAAACGAGCCGACACGAGTTTCACGGAAAACTCGTACTGAGAGTCCGAGGCGGCGTCTTTCGTGTGAGAGGCAAGGCAATAGCAGCAGCAGCAGCAGCAGCGGTTTCATTCTTCTTTGTGACTTCTGTGTCATGGCGGCAGGACTGAAAAGCAGCAGCGTTCCGTTTCACGCTCTGGGTGTGAATTCCAGCGCCAGAAAGGCAGCTCCGTCGAGCAAAGGTGTCAGAGCATACAGGGACTCGAAGTATGAAGCCAAAGGTTCTCAAGTTCTCGCTCTCCCGAATGGAGTGCACAGCATGAAGTCCGACAGAAGCTCTCGGGGGAATCACTTTCAAGCTCTCGAGACATCTCCCAGTGGCACGCAAGCTATCCAACACTCTCGCAGCGATTCCCAAGTTCTCGACTTGATCAACTCCACAGCAGCGAGATCTCGTCCTTGGTGGAGTCCTCTTTTCGATTTCTCCAGAGAGGTCTACGACTTGGATGCTTCTACTGACGAGATTGGCGATGAGATTCAAGCAGGGAAAGCTCCGAGCCGGGAAGTTCCGCTAGAACCAGAAGAGAAATTCAAGCTGCTAAGATCTCAGCTCCGGGAATCTGAGAGCTGGCACGACACCATGTATCACTCGGCCATAGCTTCACGCCTCGCAACTAGAGCTCGAAATTGAGCTCGAGATTGATAGATAAAATCGATCGCATTCTTTGTTTTAATTCTTTTGCAAGTGTACATACACGATGATGGATACTACAACATATCGCCTTTGGGCGTTTACAAATGTGTGTGTTCGTTGCGTTGTTTTTGCTATGGCTGCTTTACTCTCACTCTCCTTCCAGTACCGTCGGTTCCATCCGCCAAGTGTGTCCATACGGACCTTCGTTTAGATCCGGGCCTTAGTTCGTCGTCGTCGCCTCCTTCCACTCCAGCCACTGTTCTTAGCAACTCCGATTGCAATGACGGGCAGCTCTCCTTCAAGTAGTCGAAGCCATCGCTTTGGATCACGGCTAGAAAGACGAAACGAAAAGAAACTTCAGTCGAAGAAGAGAAACAAAATGGAGATATCAAACCTGCCAAGTTGGAAGCGGCAAACTTGAGGCAAACTCTCTTGAGTTGCGTCGCATGGTGCTGCTCCGCTAGAGCTAGTGTCGTCGCCACTGTGTCTATGCTCACGTCCTCGCAGAGCTTTGCCTCGCAAACTATCCTCAGCCGGTCCAGTCCATAGCGATCAGCCGCGGCGAGCAAATGTTGAGCCATCATCGTAGAGGCCAAAGATGTTGACGAGTAAGAGCTCGAGGACAGCACCTCACTCGCATCTGGAAGCGCATCCCTGTATATAAAGTAAAGCATTGCCTGGAGAAACGTCAATCAGTTCGAGGCTTAGAATCGCTTACATACCTCGAAAACCGGAGCCTTGATATCTTCCAGTTGTAACAACTTGACGTTGGAGTCACTGAGAGGCCCGTTGAGTTGCGCTCGAAAAACGGGAGATCGAGCCGCCAGGACCATCTTGTGCGCGTGGAACACCTCTCCGTCCACCTCAAAAGTAATGTCCGATCCCTCTCCAGACTCCAAAAGTGCTCCAAAGTGGCGGCCAATGTCCGACTCTGGCACTGGCAGACTTTGCTGACGCAGAGCCTGCATTGACGAGACCACCACGCCAACAGTGCAGGTGATGGAAAGGCTATCATCTTTCAGATAATCCGAGGTCTCTAGCACCGCCCGGCGAAAAAAACGTTTATAGCCCCTGTAAGTCGAGAAAGCTTGACTTGAGTTAGAAATGTCAGGATGGGGATAAAAGAAAATTGAAAATCCTTGAGCTGGAATGCAAGAGAGAGTATTTCATGCCGGCCTTGTCAAAGACGCTATCCATTCCAACTTGGAGCTGGAAAATTCCCGTTGATCAATACGTGCTAAGCAAGTGACTAATGCACAGACCCCAAGGAAAACGCAAGCAGTCGTCTACTGAAAACTTAAGTCACGCTACAATCGGCATAAAGTGCGCACAACGCATAGAATCCAGACCCGACTGTCACAAGGAAGAAAACAAGCTAGCTAGCAAACCAAAGATCACGCAAGAACAAGAAAGAAAACCAAAGGAAAAGCGAAAGAATTACGTACCACATACTCCCTCGATACTTGAGAGTGTAAGGACCACTCTCGAGCGATCGATCAAAGTGGCTGTGAACCTTGTGCTTGTCTTTGCCACTCTGATCCAAGAGCGTCAGCTCAAACAGCGCTCTCACGTCCGTGCCTTCGCTCGCGAGAGCTATAAACACCGAGACGTAGAGGGAGCTGTCCTCCGTGTTCTTGCCGTCTGGATAGAAGTAAACCGCCCACTGGTAATTCCCCACCGAGAAGGTGTTGCTAGAGATGTACTTGCCAACGCCCATCCCCTTGGCAAGGGAGTAGCCATTGATGGTGAAGTGATGCGAGCCATTCACAGTCTCGGTCACGGAGCGCGATCGCGAGGACGCGGCGATGGATGGATTGGCCGCGGCAGTGGCTCCCTCCTCCGGATCTCGTGCCATGGACGAGAAATTTCACCCCCCGGATTCTTCACAACCGCATGGTGTTAAACCCTAGAGTACCTCGATCGATTGTCTCGCGCGTGCTCAAAATCCCTAGAAACGCGAGCCCTCGCGCGCACGCACGCGTTTCTTGCGCCGCCGTGCGTACGCCCTAAAACACATATATCTTTCTTAAAGGGGTGGTTTTATATTAATGTTTTAACAGAGAGTATATACTAGAGAATACATTTAGAGGGTAGGATCTTTTTATTGTGTTATTCGTAGGAAAAAGGGCTATACTATGCAATATAAATTTTTAATGTCATCAATGCATGTTAATTATTTGAATTTCATTATATAGATCTTTTGATTAGGGTCATTATAATAATCATATGATGAGATTTTGTGAATCTCAAAAATAATCAATCTCAAAAATTAGGATAAAATAGCCATTAAGGTTTTATTAAGTAATTGCCCATTTTTTAATTGATTTAAGAGGAGAGAAATAAGGTGTGCTATATGTAGTATCAGAGTAAATGACATGAGTTTGATTCCTATTGATTAGTAGTTACTTAAAGAATATAATATACTTTTGAGCAAAATATAATTCTACCTTTAAATTTAAAATCATATGTATTGAGCATCCATGTATACATCCTTTCTTTTGTGGAGCATCCACAGATGAAAGTAGGACTATGGTACAAGAGCACCTATGGACAAAAGTAAAATTGTGGTATAAGTGGATGACTAATTGTTTCACTTGGAATAGTTAATTTACACAATAGAAAGATTAGTAAATTTAATGTAGAAATGGAAGTGTTAGTTCTCCTTAGCTCAATAGGGGTTGTTAATCAATAGTCAATATCAAAAACTTACAATATAAAGGCCATATGGATAGTTTATGAATTTAAAAAATTATGGATTTTTCTTTGATGGTCAAAGAATTTTAGAAATCCCAAATAGGATTGCATTAGATATAGCCATGGATACCTATAGTGCCCATTAGATTTTGAGGAAATCCTTCAAGTATTTTATAAAGATCCATAGGAATATTTGATTTCACATACATAATATGCATTTTTATTTATAGAATATTCAATTTCAGGTATAAAATATTCTTTTGAAACCAATATATGATGCCATATGGAATGTTTTACATACAATATAAACTTTTTTCACATAGCACCAATTTATGAATTATATGCAATAGCATGTGGCCAATGTTCTCTCTGTTGGAATAAGTGGAAGTACAATTTTGGAGGTCAGACAAAATGGGTGTAGACCATACTTGAGGTCACGAGTTGAAGAGTTGAGCTCACGAGTTGAGCTCAATTTTCAATTGTAATTTAGTACAAACATTATAAATTTTAAAATTTTAAGGTTATGGTGAACCTAATAATTTAATAACTCTCTATATATTATATAGATAAAAATGTTCTAAAGAACACTTTTTGTTCTAATAATTTAAATATTTACTACATGCAATGATAGGGACATTTGTTAGAACATAAAATAAAATGTTTGCAAAAAGAGTATTCTTGTCACTTCTTTAAATTTGTACTCTATGCTTTCTGGCTAGTAAATGTTAGGTTTGTCAGAATTAAAAAATTATTAAATTTGAAATAAGATTCTATGTAAAGCCATATAACCATTTGAAAGGAAAAAAAAAACCGTTGATGTAAGCTTATTGCATATAAAAGAAAGACTTGGTTCTTTGTAGAATACATTCTTGAGGGGTTTGTCGTAGCATACTGTCTAGAATTTATAGATTTTCATTCACACTCTCATTCGAAAAAAGGGAAATACACCCACAAATGTCTATGGGTTCTAGTGTTGGTAATTTTAACTTTCACAATCTTTCTTCCTAGGGTTCAAAGGCTAAGAGATGCAATAACTATCCTATTGCACAGCATAACCAAATCACACAAACGAATGAAAGAAAGGATAGTGAAGATAGTGATCATGAGTTGGAAATAAATGCAATGACAGAGGGTGCAACAAATTGGGTGAAAAAGAATACCCTCTTACTTGTTTTAGAAAAGTGCAATTCTGCCACTTTCAAGAAGTGCCCCATATGTTTTCTAGCGTCTGGTGGAAACAATGGCAATGATCAGTATGATGGTATATATGCTCTTGCGACACATTGCAACATCACGCACCCGAAAGACTACCATGAAATCTTTTTTGAGATGGTAAAGACAGAAATGGAGACACACGAGTACTATAGGCAGTATTGCGAGAAGAACACTCGGAAGCATATAAAATGAAAAGTGAAATGAAAAAGCATATTTTTATTAATTATATAAAGTATAATAAGTTTTATTGATAGAGAATAAACATTGATAGTGTTGGAGAAATCTAATTAGCTCCAAAAGTTTTTTGCAACTTAGCAATAGTAAGGCTTGTTTGGTGTATATGAATATCCACTTTAGGATCCTGGTGCAAAATGTTGATGAAGATGTAGTACATATGCTTGCAAGGAGCATATGCCTTCCTATGTTCCTCGCGCTTCATAAAGTCTGGACATGTGCAAGAAGGAAAGTTGTGAATGGCAATTGTGTACTCTCCACCTTCTGTTTTGACTGTGTACTCCTTTGCAAGTGTAGTGATGTACTTCGTGGAGAGAATTTCACACTCAAGTGTTTGAGCCAAGTTTATTTTACCTTGCTTTTGCTTTGAGACGGTACCATTAAATTTAACTACCTTACCTTTTCGTGTTGGCCTCCTGTGCATCTCTATAGAAATAATCCTGCTCCTGTCACTCATGTTTCCAACTCTCCTCTCAAGATTAAAACCAGATTTCTCAAGTTTTTCAATCTCATCTGAGGTGAGCGCGACCCCATTAGCAACCGGCCATTCTTTAGGTACTGCATCAGGTTTAGTCACTATAGTGTCTTCAAGCCGCTTCGTATGGTTGGCGTCAGTGTTGCAACAATATAGCCAGCACCATCTTGAAAATCCTGCTTGCTTTCGTTCCCTATAGAAACATGGGGTTGGAACAGAAGCCGATTTTTCACCACGAATCCAAGCCCAACATTTGCCCCTCGGAAGCATCCCCACACACCTTACATTCGATTTTGCTAGCACGCGTCAGATTGCCCATTGCTTCGGCTCCATGCTACGGTAAGCAATTTCAACATGTTGCAATGCACTCTCTTCATCAGCCACTTGAGGTGGCTCGGTCTGAGAGCGGTGTCTTGGAGTAGAA